AAATTTTAAAGCTGACTTTAACATTGAACCAGATGATAAATTTAACGCCGTGTATTTACCTTTATTTACCAAGGTAGTAATACAGTCCTTCGTAGTCAACTAAAATAGACTTTCGCGAGTGTCAAAAATCCAGAATAGTAACGTGATGGAGCCAACAGTGGAGAACATCGCAAAATTCAAAATTTGCGGCCTTTGTTCGGTTCAGACGAAGTTTTCATCGCCGAGTGCATTTGTTAAATTGAAATGATAGGAAAAAAAAAATCGAAGGGAAAACAGAATTATTTTAACGTCTGGATCTTTTGAGAAAAGGTCCCAAAACGAGTGGTCTTGATTATAAAAATTTAAGGATGGGAGAGACATTAGCCTCAACTTGGCTGTTTTTCGAAGCTCAGTGTTTTCCTTCTTGTCCTTTCTTTACGTGAAATGGGGGCGATTGAAATATATATAATATACCGTTAAATAACTTTAATGGAAATATTTAAATTTCTTATCTTAGGCTGTGGATACAAACTTATAAATGTCTCTAAAAATATAAAAATCGATCGAAAACGAAATTTTTGTAGAGTTGCTTAGCTTTTCATTTTTTCGGAAACAAAAGTCGAAATATGATTGTAAAAATTCAAGTGAAAAGTAAGCCAGCTGTGATTAACGCCTTAAACAAGTCAAAATACTTATTTTTCGTCACACAACAAGTTACATAACGTAAATATCATTCTTGTTGATGCCTTTCCCGGTGTCACCGATGCCTTCCCGATGCCTCCGTTAGTTAATTTGGCAATAAAAAAATATGGAAAATTGTTTAACTTTTAAATTAGCGAAGTATAACTTAGTTACATTTCGGCCTCACAACACTATTATTTTCTGCAAGTTACAAAACGTGAATAGAATTCTTCTTGGTGCCTTTCCGGATGTCACCGATGACTTTCCGATGCCTCCACTGCATATTACGGTAGTAAAAGATATATGTAACGTGTACACTGTTGCGGTATGAGCGGCCGTCACCACCAAAAATACAAGGATGTCAAATAGATCAGCAAATACAAAGCTGACTTAAGGATCAGCTGCAGGATAGAATAGCTAATAAAGGAATGGCATGACCAAATTATAGACGGTTTAGTTTTCCTTCATGAAACAGAACACCCTAAATATGAATAGTCTAGCCAAATGATAAACGGTCCAGTTGCCCATGTCGAGTTAGAACATGAAATTGTGAAATGGACTAGCTCAATTACGAATAGCTTAGCACTCATTTGCAATATAGTTCACAAACGGTGTAGCGTTGCGTCAAATGGCTCAGCGTAATTTAGAATTGTACAGCGTACACACAAATGGTGTAGCGTTGCGTCAAATGGCTCAGTGTAATGTCGAATGGTACAGCGTACATACAAACAGTGTAGCGTTGCGTGAAATGGCTCAGGGTAATGTCGAATGGTACAACGTGCACACAAATGGTGTAGCGTTGCGTGAAATGGCTCAGCGTTATGTCGAATGGTACGGCATACACACAAACGGTCCAGTTGCCCATGTCGAGTTGGAACATGAAATTGTGAAATGGACTAGCTCAATTACGAATAGCTTAGCACTCATTTGCAATATAGTTCACAAACGGTGTAGCGTTGCGTCAAATGGCTCAGCGTAATTTAGAATTGTACAGCGTACACACAAATGGTGTAGCGTTGCGTCAAATGGCTCAGTGTAATGTCGAATGGTACAGCGTACATACAAACAGTGTAGCGTTGCGTGAAATGGCTCAGGGTAATGTCGAATGGTACAACGTGCACACAAATGGTGTAGCGTTGCGTGAAATGGCTCAGCGTTATGTCGAATGGTACGGCATACACACAAACGGTCCAGTTGCCCATGTCGAGTTGGAACATGAAATTGTGAAATGGACTAGCTCAATTACGAATAGCTTAGCACTCATTTGCAATATAGTTCACAAACGGTGTAGCGTTGCGTCAAATGGCTCAGCGTAATTTAGAATTGTACAGCGTACACACAAATGGTGTAGCGTTGCGTCAAATGGCTCAGTGTAATGTCGAATGGTACAGCGTACATACAAACAGTGTAGCGTTGCGTGAAATGGCTCAGGGTAATGTCGAATGGTACAGCGTACTTACAAACAGTGTAGCGCTGCGTGAAATGGCTTGGCGTAATGTCGAATGGTACAGCTTACACACGTCTTTGCAGAACATCAGACGCTCTAACTGAACATTAAATCGCTTAGTATTGCATGAAATATTTCGATTTTGTGGCGAATCGTCGAGCTTGCTTATGGCGTGCCGTGAAGACAATCTTGCCGAAACCAAATTCAAATTCAATTGCGCGAGCGTGCTTCATATTCCTATTGTGCACGCTCATGACATCAGCAAACAAATCCCTCGAGAAAAAAAAACTTCCTTAACAAATAGTTCATACGTCAGCGTGCGTTCATCGAGATATGAAGCACGCGGGAAGTTTGGAGAGCACGAAAGATGCATAAGAGTTGCTTGAGGCGTAACCGAGAGCAACTCTAGCTTCTTGAGTGCTCTCCAAACTTCTTAAGTGCTTCATATCTCGACGAACGCACAGCTGACGCATGAACCAATTGGGGTTCAAATCCCGTACGGGCCTGAATTTTTTTCAGGTCCTATTATCAACTACTCGTTTCAGTAGTGTTCTTAGCTGCGAGGATCTCTTAATTTCAGAACCAATTGTTTTATAACATTTCAACCCGATGGAAAATTTTTTTGCACAATAGAAATATGAAGCACGCTCGCGCAATTGAATTTGATTACACAAATTTACTATCTATGTTATAAATCAGGTTGAAAATGTTATAAAACAATTGGTTCATACGTCAGCTGTGCGTTCATCGAGATATGAAGCACGCGGGAAGTTTGGAGAGCACGAAAGATGCGTAAGAGTTGCTCGAGGCGTAGCTGAGAGCAACTCTAGCTTCTTGAGTGCTCTCCAAACTTCCCGCGTGCTTCATATCTCGATGAACGCACGCGAACGTATGAACCAATTGTTAATTATGACGTGCATTAAATGTCGATCGTCGAGCCCTCCATGGTAAGAAAACTGATATACTTGATCGTTTTGACATTCTTCAATAAAAGTGATATCAGAATGCTTGAATTGGTGTGCCGGACGATAAAACCAACTCGGATAAAAGGTTGCTTTGGCAAACACTACGTGTTTGATTGAAACATGTCAAAACGGATCAAGGATATCAGTTTTACTCACCATAGCGTCCGAGGCACACACAAAATCCAACTTCTCAAGTACTCCTGCAATGTTCAAAGAGCCTTTGCAGATAAACTCTCATTGAAAAGTAAGCGCGAGTCAGAAAAGAAAAGAGAGCTCGGCAATCGACATTTAATGTACGTCTTAACACTACTTAATACTCTAAACATTCAGGCTCACCAACGCGTGCAAACTGTGGTAAACCGGGAGGCCGGCAAACCGTGGTAGAATCCAGTCTCGTTGCTATTTTAATTAACACTTACACGAACGACAACGAATAAATGCAATATCGGCGGGGAAAAAAAGGAGAAACTCACCGAATTGGCTCTGCTTTACGGCAAGGCGAAGTAAGACTCTTACACCATGTGATGGTTTCGCGACAGTCTTCACATTCAATGACGTCATGCCCCCTAGCAGATCGCTGTTCCATTTGCGGTTTGCATTTTTGGTGGCGTAACGTGAAGGCTATCTCGCCGAAACCAACAAGCGAGCTCGACGATTCGCCACAACATCGAAATATTTCGTGTAATGCTAAGGAATTTAATGTTCAGATAGAGCGTCTGATGTTCTGCAAAGCTATTCGACATAACGCTACACCATTTGTGTTTACGCTGTACCATTCAACATTACGTTGAACTATTTGACGCAACACTACTGTTTGTGCGTACGCTGTGCTACTCGACATTACCCTAAGCCATTTGACGCAACGCTACACCGTTTGTGTACTGTAATGCAAATGAGTGCTAAGCTATTCGTAATTGAGCTAGTCTATTTCACAATTTCATGTTCCAACTCGACATGGGCAACTGGACCGTTTATCATTTGGCTAGACTATTCATGTTTAGGGTATTGTTTCGTGAAGGAAAACTAAACCGTCTATAATTTGGCCATGCCATTCCTTTATTAGCTATTCTATCCTGCAGCTGATCCTTAAACCAGCTTTGTATTGGCTGATCTGTTTGACATCCTTGTATTTTTGGTGGTGACGGCTGCCCATAGTTGCGCAACACTTACGTACCCTCCTTCTTCTGTTTTTCTCGTGACCGCTGTAAAGGTAGTCACGCAACACTCTCCCTCCTTATTGCGTTGAATGAGTTCTGCGACGTCTGCCTCTCCTGACGGAGCACGAAAGGAGTGGAGGAGGGGAATGATGTTCATATTTATTAGTTTTAACTATTTTTTGCTTGAGTTGTGGGCATGGAGCAAGGTTTCGCACTGACCGTTATTTTCATTTCATTTTTTTTCTTCACGTCCTCTCCAGTACGTCTAATCTTCTGGATTGGCCCAAGCACGTTTCTCCTTTCTCCCACGGAAAGGTATCGAAAAAGGTAAGGATAATATACATTCTGATGTTAGGGTTGATATACTTTCACTGATCGTGTGAACCCAAATTGGCTCAAAGTGCAATGTTGTAGCTCTGCTGAACTGTCCTGGTAAATGTGCAGCGAGGTTAAAGCTCCAATTCTCCGCAGCTTCACTGATTATTTTCTCGGCTCACAAAAGCGCCGGCTACGCAGGGTGGAGTCATTTTAGCATTATCAAAAATTGCCTTAACTTCAAAATGACCGCGTGATAAAGTAGACAAACACAGCAAAGGAAGAATAAACTGGAAAAGGACAAGGGAGGCCAAAAATGGCGAAGAATTAACACGACCATGACAAACCTGAAAAATTTTGTGCTTAATTTTTATGACAAAAGGCCTATCAAAATACTCAAGTCTCATTGTGTGAACTCCCGGAGGTAAACGATACTCGTAAAATTCAGCCATTACATTTCAAAGTTCTAATCCAAGCCATGTATTATTCACAAACAATGTACCAGGCACAACGTTCATACTCTGACCATAGAGTCTGTCCTCAATTTTTTTTAATCATTTAGGCCTTCTTGCGCACGACTTACATCCACCCATCGATCGAGGACCCTGCGATTTTAGCGCAAGAGGTTAAAGGATTGGTAACTAACTGGTCCAAAAACAGACGTTAGTTCGTAAGACTTGTGACTGCTTTTTGGGCCGCGTCATCCATATCATCTGCTGGGATCAACGGCATTCCACTATCTCTGAGAATTCTTTTGGCCTCTTCCACATTTGTACCTTTATATTAAAACGAAGAACAGTTAGTGAGAATTGTCCCATACCATACATTTGACATTTGACCTGTCAGAATGCAAACTTGTAGTCAGCAACTCAACCAGGAAGAAGGCGGCACAACAACCTAAAATGGCGGGAAAACTGCGCCTTCGTTAAACGACAGAAGAAATATGACCAATCAAAATGTGACTCTTTGCCAGCTAACCTATGAGAGGAAAGCGTGGCACCACCGACTAACAGTGAAGGCGAGAAGACTTGCCAATCAGAATACGACTTTCAGTCTGCTGACCAAACAGCAAGAAGCATGGCACCATAGAGAAGCTTAAAAGGGCAGGAAACCTGCCGCACAGTTTTCTATGCTACATGATATTTGACCCATCATAATCCGAATAATCTAACAGCCACATGCACACAATCAGACAGTGGCGTGGTTCCACTGGCTGACAGAGAAGGCGGGAAAACTATCTGCGGCAGTGTTCCCGATGAAAATGTTTGAAGTAGTCTTTAACTCAAATTAATTACAGTGTTCACGCGTCGCATTAAAATTATCAACAACCTACCTTCTAAACGCACCACTACAGGAACATTAACCTTGAGTTTTTTGTACGCTGAAGTGATTCCATCTGCTACGGTGGCACAGTTGACGATGCCGCCAAATATATTCACCAAAATAGATTTTACCTTAAAAGAGAAACAGATCCCAAAATAACTGTAAATGCTTCTGGATTGAGCGCCGTGACTGCTATCGGAGTTTGTGTGTAACAAAAGAACAATAACAATTCAAAAAACGAGAGAAAACGAGGGCGCACCAAAGTCGTTACTCACTCTAGGGTCCTTTGTTACAATGTTGAAAGCTTGAAAGACTCCTTCCTCCTTCACTCCACCCCCAAGATCTAAGAAGTTCGCTGGGGTACCCCCGTGAAGTTTGATGATGTCCATAGTTGCCATCGCTAACCCGGCGCCATTCACTAGGAAATAAATATATCTTATTAGACGTTTTGGTGCGTACTATCGCTGAGTACTTTTACGAGTTTTGCCGTATTTTCATACGAACAACAAAATACAAACAACGAGTAAAAATACTCAGCGATACTACACACCAAAACGTCGGATAAGTTATTTACTATACAACTGCTTTTTTTTCTGCTGAGTCTTTCTGTTTATTTCTCATAAGGCGGGAAAAGCAAAGCGGATAGAGAAGCGTATAGCGCGCAGCCGACTGGTCAAACAGGTTTTTTACGGTACAAAATAACCAACTGTCCAAATAACCAACTGTCCAAATAACCAACTGTCCAAATAACCGTACATATCGCAGGATATTTGTACTCTATACTATCGTCCTCACCAAGACAGGCAATGTTTCCATCCAGGCCAATATAATTCAGGTCATACTTTCCAGCCTCCACCTCTCGTGGGTCGCTTTCACTCTGATCATCCATTGCAAACACTTCCTGTTGTCGGAACTTGGCACTGTCGTCAAAGTTGAACTTAGCGTCAAAGCAAACAACTGAAACAGTTTGAAATAAAATGTTCTTTTAATATAAAATATTAAGTAAAACACCATCCTCCATAATTTCCAAGTAAAACAGCATTTTTGCACGAAAGTTTTGCAAACCTTTTCCGTCTGGTGTTTCACCAAAAGGATTAATTTCTACTTGTGTTGCATCGACTTTAAGAAACAGCTTATAAAGTGCCTTTATCTGTTCTGCGGCCTGTAAGACACGAACCAAATTAGTAATAAAAAATTGCTCATTAAAATCAGAATGCGCAAGACTTTCACTGCTCCAAATGAGCTTGTGCAATGTACTTTGTACAATAAATCCAATCATGACTTGGTCACTCGCGTTTTCCGACACTCAATCAAAAAGCGCTCTTTTTTTAAAAATGTGCGATTTGCTTTAATTGCGTGCTCAAGAGTCTAGAGTTGTGGTATGTATCAAATGTCACTTAGATCGGCTCCGTCTCAAGAAACATTACGATTCTTGGGAAACGCAATTATCTGTTTTGCAGTGGACCACTCGTTTCGAGTTAATTTTTACATGTACATGAATTTCTGTCAAATTAACCTACTTCTTCTAACAAAGGTCCTTGAAATTCTAATTTCTCCGCAAGGTATCTTGCATCTTCGTCAGTGATCCCCTTAAAGATGTCAACAGCAACCTGCAAATGAAAAAAGTCGAGACAATATTCACGACGTCTTGCAAGATAGAGATTGCATTGGATTTGCTTTATTTTGCGGAAAACTCGCCCCACTCTCTCAACCAATCACATGCGAAACTTACACCAATCGCAACTTGGTTGCCCGCGTCTTCACGCGCTTGGTTGGCTGTGTGGTTGGTTTCACTTTGAGTTCTCATTAGTTCTTCAGGGTATTTTGCTTTCTTCTCATTGATTAAAACCGAAAAGCGTAGGCAAAATAATCAAAACCGATAACTTTTCACATCCCAGTTAAATGAAACCCAAATCGATCCGATACAGTCAGTGACAAGTGGAGCAAACAGAGGTTTTCTCGGCTACTCGAGATCAGTGAAGGCGCCTTATTGCCGCTCAGATCGAGAAGAAACCGGAAATAGGAAAAACCAAAACCACATCGGATACCAAATCAGAACACCCATTAGTGTTTTTTAACAAAACGGAAAACCAAATGCTGAAAAACGGAAAATCCACAAACTACAACGAAAACCGAAACCGAAAAAACCGACGTTTCTTAGCGAAAAAAAAAAAAACGGAAAACCGATCTTATAAATGGCCAAAACCGCAAAATCGAAAATCCCAATACCCTCCTCCTTTGGTTTTGTTTTTACGAAAGTCAATCGACAAGCCCTCTAATGTAAGATTAATGCTGATCAGGTTTTTTAGTTAGAATGGTCTAAGTCACCTTGTGTATGTGTTCAGGTGTTTTTTCTGCGACTTCCTCGATATCTACACCACCTTTAGGACTTCCCACAATAACAGGTCCTTGATAACCTCTGTCCATTAAAATGGCTAAATAGGTCTCGCGTGAAATGTCATAACTCTCTGCTACCATTACCTTCCAAAAAATCAGAAAATACAATATATTTTTATATTCTCATAATTGACTCGTGAAATCATTGGCTGTTTCTTTTAACCTTGCGACTCCCATAAGTGATCAAAACAGAATTTCTCCTTACAATATCAAGATGATGTCAAGCGTGTAAGTAATGAGAATAAAGAATAAGTATCCATTAGGGGATTACTAGTAGATCTAATACTACATTATCCAAACTAACATCATAAGAATTGTGTGGCAGACAGTAAGGAGAATTGCTAATGAGATCTTGGGAGTGAAAGGAAAGACACAAAGGAAATACTCTTCATCATAACACCTGTGTCTAGCCAATAATCATTGATATAAACAATGAAAGTCACTGGTCGTCATAATGCCAGAGACTGATCACTCAAACTTGCACCAAAAATTGAGACAATAAGCACACAAAAAATATTTTTTGGGGTTTCCTCTGACTCTTAAGTTGAACCACACCCAATTTAAATCTGAAAGATGAAGTAACACTTGTATATGGAATATTTAAACAAAATGTAACCAAAGTAAACAAGCTAATAAGTTTTAAAGAAAAGAGATGTTGCATATAGTGTAGCATATTGCATTGTTCTACGTCCAAAATATGAGTGAGAAGTGAAAAAACTCAACAGAGATTTATTTACTGACCCTACAATATATGCAAACTTGGCTGTGTAGCCAAAACAATCCCCGACGACACACCTGTTACATGAATACGAGACTGATGGGCAAGACAGCATGACTTCTCACGTCATATACCACATATCAGAATGTCTATTCATAATTGTCTAGTACCCAGACTTAACCTACCTTGATATTGCAATGACATCAACATACAAGGACAGATTAGATCCTGATACTGTCATTGTTTACCTTTTGCACAAGCACTCCATCAGGAGGTGTTTGTTTTGTTGTTAAGTTGTATCCCACCATCTGGTCTGTCAATTCACCAATTTTTTCTGGACTGAATACAAAAAATGAGTAAAATAAATCAGTAACAAAAAATTTTAAAGTACCACAAAGTGAGAAATTAGTGGCGTGTAATGATGAAGACATTGGAATTTAACCCTTAAGACACCAAACAGTGACTAATATCTAATTTCTCCAAACAATATCTCCCCTGAATCAGACATTAAGGTCGCGAGAATGAACGTAATGATGACCAACTTAAGAAGCTCTTGATTGTTAAACAAATTCTCCTTGTCAGCACCTTAAGAAATGTATAGAGAACAGTATGGAGAAAAAACAGACTGGTATTAGGGTGAAAAAGGTTATTATAAGCCCTGGTGCTTTATTGTTGTGTTCTTGGGTAAAACACAAGAGATAAATTTAAAAATATGTAAACTATATGGTTATGAATTAGATTTTCATTATTTTAACCTTACCAAAGAACAAAAATGCTTTCAATATAAGTATACCTCATGAGAAACAATGCAATTTGGTGAACACTGACTTACTCTGATGTCAAATGAACACCTCCTTGAAGGCCACTGGTGAATGTTCCCTTGCCCCTTCCACCAGCAAGGATTTGTGCTTTTAGTACAAATTCTTTAGCATCTACAACATAACAATGTTGTTAATGGCAGCTGTACTATCTAAATATCAGGGCTGTCATTAGAAAGTTTAGGAGGTATACGACCTGAACTTAGAGGTGGATGAACTAAATTATGCTTGCCTAGTGAGTAAGGTGTGTCACAAAGCAACACAGCCACTCTTCTACGGGGGTTGTGAGGAATGCTCTCCTGGAAAATTTGAACTTTAAAACTCCCAGAGTTGTGATTTCCAACATTCTTGGGCATATTTGAATATCTTTTTTTAAGCCACACATTGATGTTAGAATCAGTCAAAATTATTTATTATCTGTCTTTCTGCATGATTCGCAAAGTAGCCTACCGATACTGTAAGGAGAAACAACTTATTGATCACCCCTAGGAGTGGAATGGTTGACTGGATACCTTGATAGCGCTGTAACCATACATGAGTGTCAGACACTTAAAAAATGTGTCTTCTGATATTTTCAGTGATATACACCCACATGTAGTGACACAGATTTGCACCTTAATCATGGACTGGCATCAAAACCACTTTTATGTTAAGACGAACCCTATCAAATTATGATTACTGGTATATAATACTTGTGATGATAGACATATTTTGATTGGTTCATACCTATGATCTATTGGAGAACAGATGCTTAGATGGTGTCACCATCAACATATTTTGGCTTCTTTATTACATAAAAAATTAGATTCCATGTTGTCGTGAGTCTGTTCAGTTACAGATGACTGCAGACGTGGAAAATGTGGTAGGAATATCAATGACACACTTGGCAGCACTTCTGTGCCACTTTTTGGTTCTCACCTCATTTTGATGTTATCTGTGATCTATTACTGAACTGACACACTGAGACATGGTACCTATTTGTTATTTATAATACAATTTTCTTCACCACCAACTTACTCAGTTCCTTGGCAATTGCAACTGCCTCTTTACCACTTTCTGCCACTTTAAATCGCTGCACATGAAGACCATTGTCTGCCATTAATTTTTTGCTCTGGAATTCTTGGAGATTCAGCCATCTGACTGGAGTAATACTAACTGCATTGGCCTGGAAATAAAAACAAGATCTAACTAGACTGCATAAATAATTCTCCCCACTGTCTGCCATATAGTTCTTGTGATGTTAGTTTGGAGAATTCAGTATTGGATCAACTAATAATCCCCTAATTAACTACACTGCATAAAGGGCACACGTGAGGAAATGCATCCAAACAAAACAAAACACATCAATCAGCCATCAATACAGTCTAAATCTGGAAATGTTAATGGTCCTCATTTTGCTTAGGCCAGATTATTACAATCTCAAAAAGAGAACTGAGAACTCCTTTAGCCTTATAAGGAAAAATGCTCTGAAGAGAGAGTCAAGGAACTCTTCAAGATCTCACATCTTTCCTTCTCATAGTCACAATCTGAAGTACAGGCAACAAATTCAGGTCCCACAAGTGCATCTGACTCTAACAATCTAGTTTTCACCAGACCATATGCATCTGCCTCTGACTCCCTCCATTTGATTTTGACTACATCACATAGCCCAGTACTTCTGATTATGACACCCAGAGAGGGAAGGAGGGGGGAGGGGGGAGGTACTGGGGTCAATTTTTTCTGGGTGTGTGCTGCTGGCCTCTCAAAACTCCCAATTCTATCTACTCTGTAGCCAGTTGAAGATCCCATTTTAGTCACTTTTGGTAAAACAATGACAATTTTTTAACGGCAAATCATCGGATTTTTAAATCCCTACTTACTAAAACTTTCTTGACCCCAAAATCCCAAAGATGTGCAACCCCATTCTAGTAACTCATTCAGTATAAAGCGGATAGAGACCCTTAATTAGTTAGTCTGATCTAACAAGTTACAAGACGAATTGAAATTGAAAGCAAGCCCTCAATATCACATCCAAGAAAGTTGCCACGCGCGCATGTATGCAAATAAAATACCTTTACCTCAAACAACAAAAATATTTTACGCTACTAGACAACTAAGTTATTAGTGGAGGTACAGTTAAATTAAAAGAATAAATTCACACTCACCTGCGAAGATCGAAGCCAAAATCTGTTAGTTAGCCCCACACACTTTCTGCAAATTGTGGACATGGTTCCATAACGGGGTAAGGCCGCCATGTTGGATTTCAAAGGAACTAAACTACGAGCATGCGTCTTTAATGAGCTAGCTATATGACGTACTTCCGGCATCGCGGGCGCTTTCCTAGTGTTGCTACTAAGAAAAGTAAGCTAGATCCTGATCGTATTCGGTGGTTTACGACATCGATTAATTACCACCAATCCAATTGACACATAGAGCCAGTTATCACAAGTTTAGTTTTGCTGATACTCAGCCCTAAACTTGGAGAAGGGAACAGAGATTTTGAACAATTTCTGGTGACGGAGAGAGCTCAAGTTCTGCGAAATCGACAGGAGTTCGCTCAGAATCAATCAAAGATATCTCGAACTTTCCAAGAGACTATTTTATTAACGTTGACTTTACGATGAAGGGAATTTTATAGCAAAAATGTATAATGGATTGGATAAGCCGTTATTTGGCGAGGCAAGACCAAGGGTAGGTAAAATTATCGGGTTGAAGAGGTTTTCTGTCCTATAGCTTAGGGTGATCAAGTCGTTACTTAAGTTATAATCACGAGTTGTTTATAATAGTAAATGGAAAACGATCTGATTACCAACGATTTGAACAGTTTTTCAACACCAAACCTCGAACTTTTAATTTTTGTTTTAGTTCAAAAATACAACTGATCGTTGATCGATGAAGCAAGTTGCTACGTGTCATCAATTTTGCAACATTTCATATGATCTATTGATTGTTTTGCCAAATTTCGTGTAAATATCATTTTCCGAAAAAATTAAACAAACTTAAGGTCAATGAATTTTTTTTCAAGTTTTGCTTTTTCTATTTCTGACAATTTTCGATTTTTTTCGATAGGATCGCTACTTTAATTATGTCGTCGGAGCAGTCACGGTCATATTAGTCTGTGTAAGTATAAATAATTATTTATCAATCGTGACATCATTCATGGATCATTGCTGAGCTTTGACTCATGAGTCACGGGACTTTCTTTTTAGTCGTTGTTGCAAAAATCGTGGAGATGTCCCCAGTTTATACTCTTTCTATATGAGATGTTAGTAACCAGCCCCACCCCCTTCTCTCTCTCCTGAATCATTTGGTTAGGACACACTGCTGACAGTTTTGTGAGTTCCCAATTATACTTCTTGACTGAATGAATTATTGAAAATGTAAAGCAACCAAAGTCTTTGATTAATTGAGGAAAGTGAGCTTTTTGGATTTTGCTTCTCTCTGTGCTAATCATCAATATCCAGTAACTGTTAGGGTTAGTCCTGGTAAAAGGCAAATCACAATATAGTGCTCACTTTGTGACACATACTTATCAGTATGTATGAAATTTGCAACCTCTTAGTTGATGGATCTCCAGTCTAATCTGGTCAAGGTCACTAAAAGCAATCCCCTTAAGGACATTCCTCTCTTACATGACCATACTCCATGACAAATACACTAAATTATTAGTTACTAAGACCCTTTACACCCTAACATCAGTATGAATATTCTCTACACTGTTCTCTTTACATTTCCTAAGGTGGTGACTTGGAGAATTTGTTTAACAATCAAGAGCTTCTGTATCAGTGATTCAGGGGTGATATTTTATGGAGAATTAGTTGCTAGTAACCCTAAGGGGTTTAAGAGTTAAAAACCTATCTTATTTCCTCTCAAACTTTCATTACTCACCGGTAACAGTACTTTGTACCAATGGAGAAAATTTTATAAAATGGTAATGAATCCATCTTTTGCAGGAGACCTTGATAAGCTCTTTGGTGTTCCCGCACTTCCCACCCAAAGCAATCAATGTCTTCCTTGCTTCTATTATCTCAATGATATGCATATCAGAACTCATTCTGGTAAGTCACCTAAAAGTGCACCAGGCTGTTACTTTTTCTCCTGGCCTTAGTCTGAGAAGAAAAAAATTCATTTATTTATGATTCATTGTAAATTTACTCTTAATTATAATTTTAGCTTTTTAGCCTTTTTTTATTTTGTTTTTAATCTTGTCATGTGCATTTGAACATTTTATGGAATTTGTGCATTGTATATGTCCTATAATTATTATAAATGTCCTATAATTATCAATATTATTATTATTATTATTCACCTTAATTGTGCAAAATTCTCTCTTTGTAGCCCTAATCTGCTGTATTAGTTTGCAATAAACACTCACTGTTTTCCATTTCTTTATTATAGAAAGAATTATCAAGACCGTTATAGTTTGACTTGTCTTGCATGTAGCTAACTAATAACCTTTGCCATAAAGGAATTCAACTATTATTAAAATTACTGTGAAACAACTGACAGTAAATTTAGATGACAAAACTTCCACAGCAAAAAATTATACATAAACATTATCAGCTGTAGGTATGATGGAACCATTCAGAGAGTTTGCCACAAGCTTAAACTTATCAGAATTGAGACATTAAGATGTACTTAATTGTTACTACGATTATCTTACAGATTTATTGGTACAGACAAGGAGATGTTGATCCAAAGTTTCGAAAGCTAATCTACTTCAACTCATTTACAACTATTTTGCTGTGTATATGTGCAAATGTGTACTATCACAAAAAATAATAAATGCTACAACTAAGGAGAAATTCAAATGTGTGAATTTCCAAACATCTAATCAACAAAATGAGCTATTTATTTTTGGAAACTTACAATTCAATACGTTGCATCTCTTTCTACTTCTCAAATTTTTAATATTTGTGTACAATAAAACTGTGATGTTGTAATAAAAGTAATTAAATATTAAATAATTTTTCTAAGAAATTTTGTTCCTAGCAATAAAGTTGTGCTCCTGAGAATGAACTTTTAAAAAGTGTTGCCAAACCATTATCAATAATGCATTACACCATTTACCTCTGTGACAATTCTAATTTCTTAGTGTGTGATTAGCTGAAGCAAGTGAAAGATTTTGGACAATGCTTCTTTATGGTAATCATTAATCTCTAGTAAATTGTAGGGTTAGTCAAGGGGAAAAACAATTTATTGTATTACTAATGCTTGCTTTGCAATGTGTACGTACTTTGAAAATTTCTGACTTTTTTGTTGATGGATCTGTCAAACCTTGAGTGAAGCCAATTTTACGTGGAACTGCTTCTATCCTTTACTTCACACTTAACTTTTAGTTGCATTTAGTGTTGTACTATGGGCTGAGTTGTTCAAAGCTTAGTGTTGTAAATTTTATTTCAGATCAGAGTTTATTTCTTTTTGACTACAATTTGATAATTGAATGCTCTAAAAACAATGGGTAAAATTATTCCAAAATGGTTTTTGAACAGAGAAATATTGAAACCTTGATTAAAATTTAACCCTGGGTGAGTGCTAATCAGCCTTTGAACAATGGGGCCCTGATTTAGTCATTTGCTCTTAAAAAAAGAGAATTACCAGTATTTCTGTACAATTATGTCAAAGTGTAACTTTTTGCCTTGGACAATAGGTGAAATTTGAGAAATTCAACTCTCCTGGTTAGTCTTTGACATCTTAGCTGGATAATATAAACAGTATTTTGGCTGATTGAGATTGAAGAAACAAAGCTTAGGTCAAAATCCATGACATATGGAAGATAAATCAAAATGTTTTTTGATAGTTTTGTTCTTCTGTTTGGTCATAGTTAATAAATTTAAGATGAAGTTTTAAGTAGATCAGTGGTGAATTTACCACAGCAGGGATTTGTATTTTGAAAGCCTGCTCTGAAAAGTTAGGGATTTGTATTCAGTAACTGCAAACGTTTAACCTTTTAATTCCCAGATCAAATTTGTAATTCTCCTTACTGTCAGCCTCACAATTCTTATGTTAGTTCAGAGAATTTAGTATTGGATCAGCTTATTATCCCCATATTGATATTTTCCTTTATTCTCATCACCTAACTGGTTGATATTGTATTGATATTGTAGGGAGAAATTCTGTCCTGATCACTCATAGGAGTGAAAGGGTGAAGTTTAGAATACTACTTTTGAACTAGTATAGCAAAGAGATGTATCTTTGACCATTCTGTACATTTTTTTTAAACAAGAGATCTTTATACAGACCAACACAGACAAAATCTATGCACAGACATTATTTTAAACTTTGTTGGTGGAAATAAAGTTGTCAAAGAATTGAATATCACGTTTAGTGCCTAATATGCTGAGCCAACCTGTTAAGTATCATGTTAGAGATCAAGTACACAGAATCAGAACTCCTGGGGTTCAGCTCCAATTGGGGAAGTTGGATTTTTCCTCTTCCCTTGCTGATGACAAACAAATAAATCAAATATTTTCCTTTACCTGACACATGGCTCAAAATTCACCATACTTCCTAGAAATTCTATTCAAGAGGCCCCACATCAAAATAACAAGAAATAGGTCACAAAACACTGCAATACGCAGGATCTGTACCCTTTTTCAGAAGTAAATTTTAAGGACTTTTCCAAGATGCAGATTAATTTTTCCAGGACTTAAAATTTCACCTTAAACCCTCTCACTTCCAAGATTTCAAAAGGAATTCTCCTTACAGTCTACATGTACATACATTTCTTACACTGATAAATTCTGAAAACTTAATTGCTTGAGTTAAGCAGATTTCCATGACTTTCCAGGACCTGAAGTCTTTTTCCTGGACTTTCCAATCCTGGAAAATGTCAAAATAAAATTCCAGGACTTTCCAGGTTTTTTAGGACCCATGCAAACCCTGAATAACACTAGAGCCCTTGTGCATAACTTTCATGCCCTTATGCCATATTTTGGTGCACAGCTGTCAAGTCAAGTCATCTTTATTTAGGAAAGGCAGACCTTTCAGCACAAAATTGGTATCAGCAGGGGGCCTGCCTGACTCCAAGCTGGGGATTGTTCAAAGGCTAGTCCCCATGCATTGTAAGGAAACGTTTTTGTTCATAGTGCCCCCCTTCCTCCACCTCCCTCTCCTCCAAAAGATCTACAGTATGGTTATGTTAAATTGCATCCAAAGAGAGTCGGATATCTGACACTGGATTTTACTACACATTAGGTAAAAAATATTAGGAAACAATAAAGGCACATGATTTGACTTGGAATCTGAATGTTATTTCATCCAAAGGACATCTTTATTTTCTGTCAGAGACATTCTTTGTCTAAATCAAAATGGTACTGTTTACAAAAAAGCATTTTAAATAACTATATTTTGTAACCTTAGATTGATCTTCAGTAGGAGGGAAAGTTTGTTATTACTAAAAAAAAGTTGAAATGGTTCATGACTGTTGTTACATGTTTATGACACGGCTGAGTTTCTGGATTCTGTTTAGGAGAAGATCCCCCTGTTTTATGGTGGCCTGGGAAGAAAAACAGAACATATTTCAGTTGGAGTTAAATTTTACTTTCATCAACAAAACAAAGAATACAAATTAAGTAGTGAATGACATTGAAAAAAGTATTGACAACAAGTCGCTCTACGGAAAGCAGTGATGGTACACTGCGCCCATTAGCAACTTGACATATGGATGTAGGTTGCTGATACCCTGAGAACTCCCTTAATCACAGAAGTGATCAAAAGGCTAAGTCCCTCAGCCATCTCAACCTCAAAATAATAAATTTTTATTACAGTTCTACTCAACACATACCTGATACTGCCAATTCTTATGATCAGGCCTGCAAAATTGACAAATCAAAGTTATTAGTTTATTTGTAAAATTGCCATGGTAAATTATGCATTCTAGTTAGAGCAGCCTCAGGGATAATTCAGAAGGAAATTTTTCAAAATCCACATGTTTTATTATGATAGTGCAGCAAGTTGGTAAAAAAAGGCATTCATACTTGCTGCAAGTTGAGAAGTAATCGGAATAATCAAAAGTTTAACTACATTCAGTAGTAGATTAAATGCTGTGTGGACATAGTAAATAAAGAGACCAATAAAGCTTCTAGAATTTCTGTTGCAAGAGAATACAGGATTAACCCTTTAAGTCCCAAGATCTCGTTAGTAATTCTCCTTACTGTCTTATATATAGTTCTTATGATGTTATTTTGGAGAATTTGGTATTGGATCAATTAATAATCCCCTGATTAATATTTTTCTTTGTTCTCATCACTTGTCTGCTTGATATTTTATTGATATTGTAAGGAGAAATTCTCTCTTGGTCACTCATGGGAGTTCAAGGGTGAAAGGTGCCTAAAAACAAACCTACCTATTTTTAGATTCTCTGAGGTATAAGAAAACACTCATTCAATACTTCAGCTTTGATTATTACTGGTCAAGTATTTCTTACCTATTGGTTTCCACAACCCCTCCAACTTTGTCAATTTTACAGTTCAATCTCCCTGCTGCGATGAATCGTGAAAGTTCCCTAAAGAGAAAAAGACCATATCAATCAATTGATCAATTCATACAAGGGGCATATCAAACAGAGTTTATCAAAGATCATCTTTCAGTACACCCTTTACAGCCTAACATCAGAATGCATATTCTTAATACCCTTCTCTGTAAATTTTCTAAGATGCTGACAAGGTGAATTCATTTAACAAAAATTAGCTTATTTAGTTGGTTTATTGAGACCATATGCCGTGAGAGTAAATGATTGAATAAAATCAGGTCAAATCCAAGGGAAACTGGCTCTTGATTAAGTTAGCAAAGAGTTTGAATTGACTAACTTTGAGTTAGCTGATAGTAAATGAGAGGAAAATTGAGATCAGATCCTCATGGGAAACTTGATCTTGTTGGAGTTAATGGTCTATGAGGGTTCAAGTTAAGCCAGGTTCTCCTGTATTGCACTAACTTGGATAAGACCTACCAAACAAGTTGTAGCAAAGAAAAGACAAAGCAGAACTGAAATCCCAAACTGAAATAGCCACAGCAACAAAGGATAGGGCAGCCTGGAGGCAAGGCAAAAACTTAACAACAGTGATATGTCACTTACCTATCAATAAACTCCTCACTAACTCCAAAGGCATTAGCCATGTATTGTAATGTGAGACTGCGGTAAGACTCCAGCAGCTGTGTGTAGGCCTGAATTCGCATCTCTCTGACATAGTATCTGCAGTGTGGTGCTAGCAACCTGTCTTGCTTCAAGAAGTCCTCAATTTTTGCTACAAAAGGTAAAGGATCAGGAAATTCATTGTCACATCATTAAAAGCAACACACAAATATAAAAGTGAAAATTCAATTTTGACTTGTGACTGATACAATCATAGCCTGCTTGAGGACTCTGAACTTAGGTAACAGCAAAATAGGACAAGAAGAGCATTTATAAGATTAGTCTCTGTTTATAAGTGGTGGTTTTGCCATGGAGGTTGTTCTTACCCAATGCAAGGAAGAAATCTGCATAGTGGCAGTTGTAAAAGGACAAAAGGAACTGGCTGGTGACAGGAAGCTGATGGAGAACTTCAAGGATTTCTGCACCATTTACCACCTGGGAGAGAGAGAAAAACTATATTAAATTCAATTTCTTACCCATGAGAATATTCTTAACAGAACCTGACGTTTCTACAAGGCTTGTGGAATAAATGGCTAACATGTAAAAAGCTTTCCACTTCAAACTGGAATTCACTTCCCAAACACATAAGTTTTTGGTAACATGACTGTATTTTCAAGTTTGAAATTTTGTTCTAATAAATGTTCTGATGCCTAAAACTCCAGCATGATTAGTTTTAGTCATGCATCTGATTTATGCAATTGGAGGTGCGAGTTTATTTGACCAATCATAGACAAAACAAAAACAGAAACCAAATGCAATCTTGAATTATTTTCAGTCATCAAATGAAAACTGCTCTGTGTTACAGAGACCATTAGATAATTAAGGCACATAACTTTCATTCACTGTTACTGGAACTTGCAAAATTTCAACACAATATTACACACCTTTGTTCTGAGATCAACCCGTTCTAGTGCGATCATACTTGCAAGAACAGTGTAGGTGACAAATGTTTTGTAGTCCATCAGTTCATAGGAAGTAAATGTGGAAATGCTATCCAAGAAATTACTGGCTGCAGACTTGAAATCGCGGATGGATAGAAAATAAATTCCTTGGTACACTTTAAGCCTGTTACGACGATCCCAATCTCCGCCCTCTTCTATTAACCTGTTTTAATAATGATGATAATGATAATGATGAGGAGGAGGAGGAGGAGGAGGAGAAGAAAAAGAAGAAGAAGAAAGACCATAACCTAATAGAAGAAAGGAAAGGTGCCAGGCAAAAGGTTGAGAAAAACCACTCAGATCATGACAATCACATGAAAAAGAGGAGAGGTGCTATAAAGGTCTTGTAAGGAACCAACCACACCACCTCCCCTTGCTTGCCCTGACCCAATAACTCCCCTACAAATATAATTCCTTTAATTTTGCTATCATGGTCTGTATTATTAATCCTTTACACCCCATCATCAGAATGCATATTCTCCATACTGTTCTATACACATTTCTTAACATGCTGACAAGGAGAATTTGTTTAACAATCAAGAGCTTCTTTAGTTGGTGATCATTTCCCTTATTCTTATGACCTTCATGTTAGATTCAGGGGTGATACTGTAAGGAGAAATTAGATGTTCATCACTCTTAAGGGTTAAGGATTCTGTGAATACCTGGAACAGGCTATGGTATTCCTTGCAAATAATCTTTTTTTAAATTTGTGACTGGAAACATTTTTAAGCACTTACATCTTCGCCTTGTCTATACTCCTAGTAATCAGATCATTATCCAAGTAAAACAAACCAATGCGTATCTGGTAAAAAATTATGTCCAGTTTGTATCCAAGTGCTACAGCTTTGTCATAGGCCAGACGAAAAACACTCAGAGCCTTTTCCTAAAAGTATAAAATATGTAATGCATGATTAACAATGGATTTTTTCCAAAGTACACTCATGCACATATGTATGTCTTAATCAGTGACAACTTACTTAACAAGTGTAATAGAATACCAATAACCTGTTAATGTTTTCTATTTTCAAAACACCATTAACCCTTAACTTCCATAAGTGACAAAGAGAGAATTCCTACCCACATTACTATGTCAAGAAGACTAGTGATAAGAAGGAAGAAAATTAGGGGATTATTAGTTGATCCAATAACAAATTCTCCAAACTAACATCATAGGAATTGTATATCAGACAGTAAGGAGAATTACTAATGAGATCCTAGAAGTGAAAGGGTTAACCCTTCACACCCAAACATCAGTATACATATTCTCCAAACTGTTCTCTATACATTTCCTAAGATGCTGACAAGGAGAAGTTGTTTAACAATCAAGAGCTTGTTTCATAGGTGATCATTTCCCATATTCTTGTCACCTAAATATGTGGTTCAGGGGTGATATTGTAGAGAGAAATTGGATGCTAGTCACTCTAAGGGGTCAAATGGTTAACCTTTATTGTTATTATTATCATAGGTACTGCGTCATTCAAACATTTTACAAGACAACTATTCAATAATGTAATGAGACATTTAAATACTGTGCAGACACTAAAAACATGAGTTCAAGAACTCCTTCCATATTTGTACCTTATCTCCAATCTTACAAAGATATTCTGCTTTGGCATATAAAGCATCTCTGATTTCTGTTTCTCCCAAGTTTTCCTCGGCATCTTTTAGTGTCTCATCAAGCTTCTTAACCATTTCTTCATTATTTGAATGCATCGTTGCCAGCAGAGAGTTGTCTACATCCCATTTAAGCTCTGTACAGAGCTCTTCATACAATGGAGCCATATCTAGAGAAAAATATTGGAAAATTAAGCCAAATATATGTAGAGGCCATGTGTATTATAAAGCCAGCCCTGGTGCTAATTGGTTAGTAGAACCATTCACAACGAAGTGCCAAAAAAGGCTAACCAGCTGGAAAAAAAACAGTTATTTCCCAGTCTAGGTCCATCCGTATAGGAAAAATTGTACCAGTAATCTTGAGAGTGACTCTCCATCTTTGGCCATAAGCCAAACTCAAGACTAAGGCACACTATTTACCCATACAGATCTCCAATCCTCAGTAAATAACATATATACACCAGTATAGGACTGTAGTCTCATTTAAGTATAGCAATGTGGAAGATTAACCCTTTAACTCCCAAGATCTGATTGTTAATTCTCCCCTCTACCTGCTACACATTTCCTTGTAAATTAATTATGAGAATTTGGTGTTCAATCAAGGTGATATCTTGTACCTGATGAGTTTGAGAGTATTCTCATTACCTGTTTGCTGGATAATGTATGGATATTATAGGGAGAAGTTACATGTTTATCACTTCTGGGAGTTAAAGGGTTAATGTTTATCGCACCCTTCAGCTTGTATCATTTACCACCCCTACTAGAACCTGCTTAACTTTAAACCAATTTGATCCACTGTACGTGTAGATCTTAACCCTTTAACCTCTAACTCCTAAGAGTGATTTGCATCTAATTTCTCCTTACTATATCACCCTTGAGTCACACATTAAGGTCATGAGAATGGAGGATATGATGCCCAACAAAAGAAGCTTTTGATCAGTAATCAAATTCTCCTTCTCAGAACCTTAGGAAATGTATAGAGAACAGTATGGAGAATATCCATAATGACAATAGGGTGTAAAGGGCTAAACAAGCCATGTAATCAGTGGCTCCCAGTGACTCACACTTTCTACAGCTCACGAGCACTGTGAAAATTTCAGTAGTCAGAGTGGGAATTGATCATTTTCTTAATCAAATGTGAGCACCTTTAACTTTTGTAACGTCCAATAGATTTCTTATCATTAATCTTCTTTAGTTTCGGGATTGATGTATCCGCACGCGGTAACAAATATCGACTTCAACTTACGAGAAATCTCTACCTTCAGGCTGGATTAAGCTTAGTAAAATTGAAAAAGAAACAAATCATTGGCACAAGTAATCAAAATGAAGAGTGAAATCTATAAATCTAGATGGCATGTCAGCTTATGACTAGGCAGAAAAATTAACCAAACTGCAGAGAGCTTACCATTTTCTTTCACGGCTTCCAAGAGCCTTTTCTTCGCGTCTACCTTGTTTTTTCCATCTGGATTCGTTAAAGTAAAGCGCCATGCTGCTAGTTCAAGGTTTGGATTCTTTGGCAGGCCCTCTTCTTCTAGATTTTCGACCGGCATTTCAATAGAATGATGGCAATGAGTTTTGAAAGAAATGTCTCTCTAATCTTCTGACTGATGCACAGTAACCTCGCCTGGAAGGCTGAGTAGCCTGGCCCGAATCATCAGTGAGTAGCTACGCTCGGACGGGAGGGTTGTAGTTCAAACAAGATTTAAACATTATTTTCTTTCAAGAAATGTTGCTAAGTAAATGTGCTCTTTAGAGATTTTACTAAATATTTAGAGGACTAGATATAATGAGGTGGAATTAGTTAATTTGTCGCCTAAGAACGTGACAAATCGGAAATGGGGTTTACGCCGAATAATTTTAGATGCGATTTTCTCCAGATTCTTACAGATGGACTTATATTAAAAAATAAATCATGTATGGATTTTGTCTTATTCATGCAAATTTCTTTTCCCCTTTTCATCTTTCGAGTTTCTTTTCCTCTTCCCTTCCCCTGATCGAGGCCTGCAGCACACTTACTTTTTTCCCGCCAAAGTGTTACTGCTTACAGGTGACGTATGATCTGTTTGCACATAAGAGAAACCGAAAAATTTGCATTTACGCATCACAAATGAGTTGTTTGGTATACACCAAGTGGTTTAACACGCTCTGCTAAGCTAGCTACAGTATGATTTGCGGTTGCTTCACCCGAAGCTTTTCTTGTAGTATCTTTTGTTCAAGTTAGTTGCCCAAGAAAAGCGAGAAATGGCCAACGGACAAGTTATTTCTGAGGAGAGTTCTTTCAAAAATGCGGATGGACAGAAAATTTTCGCAAAATATTGGAAAACAAGTGAGAAGAAACCAAGGTTAGAAATAATAATTTTGTATATTAGTTTCTAATCATGATTTTGAGTTCTTAACATCTTTTGTGGCGCAGCAAAAACGTCATTTTCTTGTCACTTTCGGTAGATAAAAAACACCTTAACGATTTGTTTTACTGTAAGCTTTGATCTGAAGCAAGTGTTCCAATTAGCTCGTCTGATCCTCTTGTTCGCTATGCAGCATAATGGTCAAAGAGAAGTTTCTGCCTTCTAATTAGATGTGTACACCATACTAAATAGAAATAAAAGAAAAAGTTTCGAAAATTAAACAAGTTTCTAGTGTCCTTAATCCTAATCCTATCTGTCCTCTCTTAGCGTTTCCGCTCTGACACGAAATGACCTCTTACTTTTTAATTTAAAGCAAAGTTTAGAATCGACGTGGCAATTTCAGTCACACTAGTTTATTTTGAAGTGTGAATTGCTCAAACTCATAATAGCATGCAAAGGAGTTTTATGAATTCTCCAACGAACAACCACACGAAAGTATTTCGCACGCAAGTATTTCTTTCTGTTCGCATATAAATGCAAGCAACAAGTGCTACATATGCAAATTTCACACCAAAGGTGTTCACGAATTTATTCATCAATAAAATAATATAGAATTTTAGGATTACGTTGATTATGAGAAAGATATGCTGTCTCCGAAATAATACAATAACCATAAATTATTTTTGGCTTTCGATGGTTTTGCAACAATTTTCGTGATGAATGTTGTCGTGTTCACCAATACACGAACTTTAGCGGTGGTAGATACACTGACAGATGTGAAACATGTCATGAATCTGAGCTTCATCATCGACTTGAAGGCCACTCCCGTTTGGTACTAGCCGAAAACAAAAGAAACATTGTAATACTATGTACTTTTGTCTATATACAGGGCACTGATTTTCATCTGTCATGGTGTTGGAGAGCACTGCTCGCGTTATGAAAGACTGGGAAAAGCTTTGGCAGAGCGAGGCTATGTGGCTTTCACTCACGATCATGGTAAGAAATATATATTTTCTTCTGGGGTGAAATTATATGCAAGATAATTATCTTTCCTTCTCTTGTTGTACTTACCATAAAATTTATTCGACCAGGCATGATCGAGCAAAGATGGCTAGATATCACTAAATTCGTTTTTGTGTACAGAAACTTAAAATAACAAAAGAAGCATGCAAGCTTAATCATGACGTCTTCACCCCTTCCATCTTATCAGCAGTATGCAAATTCTCCATACTGCTCTCTACAAATTTCTTAAGGTAAAGACAAGAAGAATTTCTTTAACAATCAAGAGCATTAATTGTTATTTAGCAATCAGTTGTTTTCTAATCTCATAACTTTCATGTTTGATTCAGAAGTGATTCTGTAGGGAGAACTTAGATGCTAGTCACTTGTACAGGTTAACACTAAATAGTCATGCAGAATTAACCCTTTAATTCCCAGAAGTGATCAACATGAAACTTCTTCCTATAATATCCTTACATTATCCACCAAACAGCTAATAAGAATATTCAAACTTATCAGGTAGAAGTTGTTGTCTTGATCTAGCACCAAATTCTCATAACTAATTTAAGAAATATGTGTAGCAGCTAGAGGGGAGAATTACCAATCAGATCTTGGTTTTGCTAAAGGGAAGCCTGTCATAAAATAAATGTTATCATCAAGTTCTTCTATTTTTTTTTTTTTAAGTTGGTCATGGCCATAGTGATGGAGAAAGAGTCCAAATCTCTAATTTTAACTGCTATATCAGAGATGTCTTTCAACACATTGATCAAGTTACAGCAACCCACTCTGGAATACCTGTGTTTATTTTTGGACACTCTATGGTGAGTGTTCTAATATGGTTATGGTTGCAAAATCTTGCACACTGGACAATGCTTTTGATTTATTTCTTTGGATAGAATTTGTAATAATTTTGTCTGTATCTGTGGACAAATTATTACATTTTGAATTTTTTCCTTTTTTCAGGGAGGAACAATAGCCATTCAGTCTGTTTTAGACAGACCTGATTTCTTTACAGGTGCAATTTTCAGTGCACCAAGTGTAAAGGCAGATCCAGCTGTGGCAACTGCTTGTTTGGTAAGAGACAATTCACAAAACTATAAAAAAAAGTGGTCTTCCCTTCCTTAGCTTCAATTTACTGTGGGTACCTAACCTTAGCATTATCATGGCAGCTAAACTTGTATAATGTTTCAAACAATTGGCTATTATGGTTTGTTGAAGGAGATGAATTCAACATCACAATTAATATCTAGTTTACAGCACTTTCAATCATTTTTAAAATTATTGGGTCAAAATTAAGTGAAATAATAGACTGGCACACATTATGGGTTTGACTGGTGATCAACGTCGGTCTTAAGATTTATTTAATATTTAGAAGCCTGGAGTTAAATGCCATTTACATTTTGTACTGCAGGTTTTCTTGGGGAAAATAGCGGCTTGGATTTTACCAGCCTTTCAGGTTATGCCACCAATTGATCCCTCAGTATTAAGTCGTGATCCTAAAGAGGTGGGTGTACACGATTTAATCTGCTTCAAACTAGCAGATATGATCTATGCTTTTCACTGAGTAGTAACTAAAGAAATGAATTAAAGATCAGCAAGAATTACTCAATTATTAAATTAATGTGGATCATCCTAATTGTAATCAGAAGTATCGTTTATTGTTAATACTTTTATATTCTAAATATGATTGATTTTGATCACCTAAAGGCTAAAAAATATGCAGATGACCCACTTAACTGGCATGGTGGATTAAAAGCGAGATGGACCAATGCCATTCTAAATACCATGGAAGACATTCAGAAAAATATATCTGCCCTTAAGACGCCATTTTTTGTTGCCCATGGTGATGACGATCAACTTGTAAAGATTGACAGCTCAATCTTCCTAAACGAGAATTCTCCAAGTAAAGACAAGACATTCAAGGTAACATTCTGCGGGTCTTTCATATCAAGGGAATAGTAACTCTTCTTTTCAGAAAGTCTGAATAATGTTTAGCCCATGTTTAGCTCTCCATATTGTTCTCTGTACATGTCCTTGGCAAGGAGAATTTGTTTAATAATCAAAGCTTCTTAGGTTGGCAATCATCTCCTTTATTCTCATGATCTAAATGAATGATTCAGCAGTATTACTCTTAAGAGAAATTTGATGCTGGTCACTCTAACAGTTTAAGGGGCTATGGGATATGTCTATTGATGTACAATAGCTAACCTGAACATCAAAAAAGCATTTGATAGTTCAAAGTTATAACGTATTTAACTGATAGTGCAATACTTCTCTCCAATTCTAAGGTATACAAAGATTGCCGTCATGAGATTTTGAATGAGCTGGAAGAAAGTGCAGCCATGTTCCTGAAAGACATTCTAGAGTGGATTGAACAAAGATTACCTGTAGTTTTGCAGATTTAATGTTTCAATTTGATATCATATCAATAAACACCAAGCAATATTTTTAATAATTCAGTTGATGAGGCTTAATTTACAAACTCTGTGTTTTTTAAAGTTTACCAATTCAATGAGGTATAAAATTTGTAATTGCAATATTATTATTTTAACGACTAATTTAGTAGCTAAACTTAAAGTTAACTACATTTCAATTGAAGAATAAATCCTGAATTATGGTAATTAAGCACAGCTATTAAATAACATCTGCACATTACATATTATTAAATGTTCACTCCTTGTATATTACTTATGGTCAAAGTCTGTGAGTGGCTTGAAGGGAAAACACTCTTCAGTGAAGTTGTTTCAGTTACAGACCTTAATGAAGTTTTCAAGACAAAAATACAGTCACATTTACAACAGTTCTTTGCTTAACTGGGAAGGAACAATTATGCACAGTCCTGGTGTAACTAGTTGTTCTTAGGTGTGCAGGGTTTTCTTACTTATGGGTTTAGAAACTGTACTTCAAGTCCTGTACTTAGATACAAATGAAAAGGAAAATTTGTTCATGAATCTAATCCATAACTGCAATGGATGGTGAAAAAACGTCTTTTATTTACCTCAAGTGTTACTTTCCTCCCCATTTCTCTCTTAAAATGGTAAATTAACACCTCAGTTTACAGTGTAATATAGTGTTAGTAACTTAAATAGCCTGGTTAATGTACCATGCTGGCTTAAAGTCAATCAAAACACTTAAGAGCTGAATAAAATATTGTGAGTCAGCCTCTGATTTTGCAACATTAAAAGGAAACACACACTTATGACAATTGATTATTGATAGATGAGTTTACCATCAAAATATAAATTCTCCTTTGATGTTGTTCAATGTACCCTTGACCAAAAATAGGTCTTTGGTGACATACGCATTCAAACAGAGAAGTACAGTGATTCATCTGTTGGAATTTTCTATAGATTCAGCTTATTGAAGGCCCACTGTTCACACCAATCCCCATAAATATTTCAGTGAAAACACACCTATTTGAAAGAGCTCTTCAAAACAGGAGAAATTTAAAAAGGGAATCTTATTTCCACAGATGGTGATGCATTTTGAATCTTTGGAAGCTTTCCATCAAACTCATGAACAGAGACCAAAAACACCTTAAGATCTCCTAGAATTCTTACAGCTGACTTTTACCTTAAAGTTAAGCTACATGGTTTGATAGAAATAATTGATTTAACAGCTACAGTATTCATTTGCGAAGGTGCTAGACCACAGACTGAAGAAGGTTACCTATTCATTCCTTAAGCCAGCAACCCACCTAGTGATTTTAGTGGCAAATGTGATTGCTGCGATTGGCATATAAAATTGCTGATATCTGGCATGTAAGACATCTTGACAGTGATTATCAACCATCGCTTTCATTGGTGAATAAAATCACCAGGTGTGTGCCAGGCTTTAAACACATTCTACAGTAAATTGCGATCAATATTTCAATACTAAAAGATTAAGGGTGTGGATAGGATTGTCCACACCTGCTAAGATAGTCACACTTGCATCCCAAAGGACATGTAAGAATTCCACGTTCAATCATTCTCTGGAATGAAAAAAATAATCAGAAAAATTATAATTTTACTGACAAATTATTTGATTCCCAATGCTGCTGACTTAAACAAAATGAAAAAAAATTTAGACCTATCCTGTTTCTGTCTAACATTGAAAACCCATTTTATAGAACAATGCAAACAATGACTGTCCTTTCTTGTACATGAAAATAACTTAATTCAATTGATTAAATCTCCGATGTCTCTTTACATGAGGCTATTCCTTAACCCTTTACCCCCTGACATCAGTATCAATATTCTCCATTCTATTCACCAAACATTTCCCAAGGTACTGACAAAGAGAATTTGTTTAATAATCACAAGTTGCTTTAGTTGGTGATCACTTCCTTTATTCTCATGACCTTGATGTTTGATTCAAGGGTAATTTTGTTAGGAGAAATTAGATGCTGGTCACTCTTAGGGGTTAAAGGGTTAAATGATTTCTGTGACTGATGCACACACACACCCAAAGCCACAAAACATTGCCTGACCTTGTGTTGACTATCCACTCTCATCTGAAACTCTGGGCTGTCAGGTTTCAAGTCTGCCTGATAATTCCAAAAAGAGCCAGCACCAACAATGGCTCTGGGCCAAATCTGAAAAAATTATCAAATATTCAATTTTAGTAATATTAAAATTGATCTTAGTAACTAATAGTTTTATGATGTAGCCAACACATATCACTTATCGCATGGTGCTCACTGGAGCCTCATTCCATAGAACTTTAATTTGCAGACTCAAACTCAATTGCCTCGCATGTCTCAGCTTCTTGAAGTCAAAGCTTTTTCCCTTTCAATCATTTTCCTCTCAGCTAACTTAAAACTTTCTGCTATTTTACACTGGAATTTTTTACTTTTTGAATCAGCAGGGTTCTACCATGTACTTTAAAGTCCTTTTGTTGGAGGTGCACTTTGAAATTTGACAAATAGTAAGGGGTTATTTAATTAAGATGGACTAGCATCACATTCAGTAGGATTACCAAATGAATGCAGAACTTGATGTTAACTGACAAGAATGTAGTATTTGTATTAGAGTACTGTAAAAGTTTATAACGACATAAATTTAAAAATAATCAAAATATATAAGCTATACTAATGAACATGAAATATTACATGCCTCTGATTGGCTGAAATCGAGTGCATTCTTATGTTACACATAAGTGCAAAGTTAAAACAGAAGTGCAAAATTGTAACACAGGTGCAATTTACAAATAGTGTTCAAAAATTTTCAAAATTTTGTCTGTCTTGACTTTCTGTGATGTTTTTTCATACTACACTATTGACAAGTAATAACATGATTTCTCTTGCAATTTGGTGTAATAAGCACTTGTAAATTTTTCAAAGACTACAAATTGCAACTGCCCTAAGGGCTTGTGCAATTTTGTTATCTTTGAAAAATTTATTTGTACTCATGTATTTACACCAAATTGCACTGACTGGATAGACAAAGGACTGTTGTGCAGTTCTAAAAACTGTTTACAGACAGTAACTAATAATTATAATATGATTCATACTTACAATGCCACTGACTGATTCAGTAAACTGGGAATCAGCATCTGGCCCATACATCCACCAAGCAACAGGTTTAGCCCTTTTGTACAAAAAACACTCGGACACAAAGCAGTAATCATCTGTCCACATTGCCATTTCACCACCAAGGAGCATTGTCTGTTCATCAGGGTTTAACTATCACATGAACAAAATTAATACCATGCAGGTTGAGTGTTGTGAATAACATGCACAGCACATAGAGAAAGGCATTAAGGTTAGGGGTATTGTTGAGTTTGAACATTTTTCTTGGGTATTTCAGTAATTTTTATCTTGAATGGCTGTACTGCAGTATTCTCCAAACTTGCAGGATGAGGTTCTTTTAGCATTTTGGACAGTGTTAAAAATTATCCTACTAGTCCTCTACTATTTCCTGAGCCTTTTCCAATTTCAAATTGTTTCAGAATCAGGCTGAAGTTGATGATTACACAAGATATTGTTCATAAAAAAATTCTTAGCTGCTATTTTTATTTTATGTGTTCTAAGTGTAACACACAGAGTTAGTGGCTTTGGCGTGACATCAAGTTTCAACTAGTTATTGAAGTATCGCAGCAGTATTTGGCAATTTTCTTTTGCAATATTGCCATATTTGCTGAATGTTTTGCGGTATTGCAGAGTTCACTGATACTGATCATTGATACTTAGGGTCTATCCCACATTCCAAATGCAAAAAGTAACTAATTGTTAATTGCTAATTATATACTGCCACTGGTCAATTTTCAGTAACTCTTTAACCCCTTACTGTAACAAGCATATAAATTCTAATTACAGTATCACCCCCTGAATACAAAATCACAGTCATGAGAATACAAAAAATGATCACCAAATTAAGGGGTCTGTTAAAGAAATTATCTTTGCTAGTTCCAGTTTGAAATGTATAGAGACAGTATAGAGAATATTTATACTGATGGTCTAATGAAAAGGGTAAAAGGCCCACACCTATTTAATTGGGTTGATAGTGTAACAGAGTCTCTTGGCTGTGAGCAAAACAAATTGATGTACTGGATGTCTTTTTGACTGGCAGCAAAGCACACATGTACAAACCCTTCAACTACCATGAAATTCTCCCAACCCAACCGACTGCTATACATTTCCTTATAACTACGACAGGAGAATCTGGTTCTTTACTGAAGATGTCTCCTTGCTGATGACCTTGTCTCTTGTCATAGACAGTTTCCAGGATAACATGTTTGAATAGCAAGGAGAAACTGCAAGTGAATCACCTCTAAGATTTTTACAAAGGGTAGACCACTCGATTTCCATGTCTCTCATGATGGAAAAAGCATGAAACAAGATTTAAAAAATTCAGCACTTACTCCTGTTGCAATGTCAGTCCATGACACACTCGCATTAGAAATATAATTCAGGTAAAAGTGATTCATCAATGCATTTACCCTAAATAAAAATACAAATGAAAAAGATAAAATCAGGCAACATATCCTATGGATGGTCAACCACTCTATGAGTTTACCAATAAATACAAATATAGGTAATTGATAAAGTCCTAATGCTCACAACTTCAGCTTAGTAACTCTTTGTGGTGACCAATTTACATTATCAACTCAGTTAATTATAATAAAATTACCCTGTTATACTCTCCCACTGACGCAGCACCAAACTTGCCCCCTTCATTCATTTGTCAGTTAGTCAGTCAGACAATCAGGCAGACAGTCAGTCAGTCAGTCCTACAGACAGTCAGTTAGACACTCTGCCCGTCAGAGATTTAGTCAGCCAGTTAGACTGTCATCAGACAAATCAATCACCTCATCCAGTCTGTGAACCAATCAGTCACCTATCCATGCAGGGAATTGATACATTAGTCAGCCAGCTGGCAAGTCAGTCACTCTCACTATCTTCCAAAGCTTTGGATTTTGACAAATACTCTGCAACAGTACACCACACGACAATTTAAAAACATCCATTATAATGATTGTTTTCATCTGCTTACACTTGAAATCCTTTATCTACAAGAGTTTTCAATGATACATCTTTCCAAGCTTGTAACACTGTTCCATTTACTGCCTAAAAAATAAAAAAAAAAGACAGTGCATTGATCATAATACTACATGAAACTCAGTCAGCAATGAAAGCTCTTTTAAATTTGTAATAAAGATCACATATTCTTTTTTTTTGTGACAACCTAATCCTCAGAGGATTGGAAAATAAGTTTTGGGTGCACTTGCCTAGGTTAATAATAATTAAAAGGGTGATGACTCAATCTAACAAGCAAACTATCCAATCAGTATGCATAAAAAGTTCTATTCACCTGTGTGGTATAAATTAAATCATTAGTAATATTGAATAATTAATTAAAAATAACTTGCATTAAATGTAACTTATTTCCATCATTCAATACTACCCATGACAAGTGTTAAATTATCAACTCACAGCAGCTGTTGATAATAGTGCTTCCTGCCAAGCATATGGTGTCTTGCCTTTCTGTTGAAGAAATTTGAGCAAATCCTGCTCTAACTCCTTGGTTTCTGCATCAAAGTGAAAAAAAAAATTACAACTAGTCCTTGCATGGAAGGACAACTTTTGGTAATTTTTGAGCTCTCAAAGTATTCCATAATTTGGTTTTATCTTATTTCATTCTGCACATGTTCTAGAAGACTTGTGTCACCCTCTTATTTAGCTGAGGAGATACAGATGTGTACAAGACTAAAACCAGCCAGAATTCAATCAAACATTTTCCCCTGCACTTCAGGCAATTTGCTTGTTTGTACTTTCATTGATTTCTTAATGGTTTTGAGCAATAATTTCCCCTGTCTTGCTGTGAGCAGATCTGATCTCATTTTGGTTTTGGTTTAACCCTTTACTCCCTAACATCAGTATGCATATTCTCCATACTACTCCCTAGACATTTCCTAGAGTTCTGACAAGGAGAATTTGTTCAACAATCAAGAGCTTCTTTAGTTGGTGATCATTTCCTTTATTCTCATGACCTTAATGTTTGATTCAGGAGTGATGTTGTAAGGAGAAATTAGATGTTAGTCACTCTTAGAGGTTAAAGGGTTAAAACAAAACTCAATCAAAAATTCTCCCAGATAAGTATATAAAGTTTGGGCAAGGTGCACCAGTTTACTTTCTCCATGTTCAGCTCTAATTGAGTTGGTGGCTATTTCTCAATGAAATCATTTCAACCTTTACTTATTTCTTGCTAGTAAAGTGATAATGGATATCATTTGGCGGCAAAGTGATATGAAATTTGGTTCTGATCATTAAAAACATTTGAATATTTCAGATTGCAATTTTTCTGTATTGAAGCACTAGGTTTTGTGGATGATAAATTAAAATTCACTTCATCGCAGTGTCCCTCTCAGAATTTACAAAGCAGAGGCAATTGAGGTCCTGTATGTAACCCTAAAAACCCTAAAATCAGTATTCATATTCTCCCTACTGTTCACTATAAATTTCTAAGTTGCTGACAGGGAGAATTTGTTTCCCAATCAAGAGCTTTTTTGGTTGACGATCATTTCCTTTATTCTCACAACTAAATGTTTGATTCAGGGTTGATATTGTAAGGAGAAATTAGATGCTGGTCACTCTTCAGGGTGAAAGGGTTAACAAATAAAATTGATTTCATTTATCCTTGGACCTGTCAACACTTAGTGTGACTGTTCAACAGACTTACTTTCCATAGTACACACAGATGTAGTTATAACTTCATCCAAACCAAGGTGAAAGTACTGATCAGGAAATAGTGTCATCATTTCTTCAAGAATGCCTTTCATTGTGTTCACTGTAACTCCCTAGACAAGATGAAGATGGTGCTTATATAAATCATATAGCAACTACCCTAAACACTAAGCAAATCACTGTCTCCTAGAAGATTCACTGAATCGACTTCTTGTCATAGGGATTTTTTTTTTGTTTTTTACTATAAAAGAGAATGGGGAGCAAGCCCCACACTCCTAAGAAACTCTGTTTTGGTTTTACATGATTTAAATGTAACTTCTCCTTACAATATCCATACACTATCCAACAAACAAGTAACAAGATTACTCAATGTGGCAGAGGAGGGGGGGATGTGGCAGGGGAGGGGGGATGTGGCAGGGGAGGGGGGATGTGGCAGGGAGATTGCAGAAATATAACCCTTTAGTCTTGTTCTGTAGGCCTATCATTCCAAGGACATGGAATCTAAAGGTTAAATAATGAGCTTGTCTATTAATAACAATCAAATGGTGATAAAGATCATTTTTTTAAACATAAGGCTATTGATATAAGTGTTAACTATTTCAGACAGAACCAAAAATCACTTCAATCTGTTTGTTTCTTACTAACAGTAATTCATTCAACAGCTTTAAAATAAGTCAAAATTAGTAAGACCAAAAGCAACTCACATTATACTTATTGAAAAAAGTTAGTGCAATGTTAAGGAAGAAAAACTCTGAATTCCAATTTGTTTGTATTGAACCTGTGTAAGGCCAGGAAACACTGCTAATGATACTCACAGAGAACGTGTCAGATGACCTTTCAGAGGCAAATTAAAAATAATACAAAAATTAGAGACAGATCTAATCTCTTGAATAATATCAAGGAAACTTCATATCTTACGCTGATTCCACTTCTGGAATTACTCTTATTCCTCTGTCAGCAGCATAAGATACCAGTGATTTTACTTGTTCTTGGGAGTAAAACTGACTCTCGTTGTTTCTTAAATCTGGATAGCTAAAAGTTAAAAAAAAAATGCAAACTGCATGTTGAACAGCAACAAAGATCTATCTACATGACTTAGACAAAATAATTTTGGGTGGCATGGCCACAAGTAGAAAAGTACTTTACAGCAGCTTGACAACCTGTGTTCAGAGGTCATCATCACAAAAAAATGAAAGAGAAAGAGTCTACAGAGGCATAAGTTATAAATTAAATTAAGCTGCAATATTGCAAATTCTGCATTAAGGAACTTACAGCTTGCTTTCAACACTGAATCGACAAAAGTCTGCAAAATGGAAGTGCAAAACATTTAACTTGACAGAGCTCATGCCATCCAGAATATTATACAGAAGTTCCAGGGGAAAATATCTGCGCCTAAGACAAAGAACAATACCAGAGTAAGACTGAACATACATGCAAGTCAAAGTCAGCAGATATGATGTCCTAGCTACAAGCTAAAATAATTATTATAGGTAGGGATTCACAGTATTCCACTTTCTCAATGATTGTGACTCTATGTCCACGTATGTTTGACAAAGCAACCAAAATACAGTAGCTTTCTTAAGACTCAACTTTTTTTTTATTATTTCTTATCTGAAAATTAATTTTTTCCAAAATTTGAGTGACTAAACTTGAGGTGTGGTTTATCTCCAAGTGCAGCTTATGGGCTGGTGTTTGCAGTTCCTGACTGTGCCTTCCTAATTTTATCATTACAATGATGTATTTTTGTTCATCATTAATAACTTATAAAGAGTACAAATTGAAAAAAATAATCTTTTGACTGAATTTAACCCTTTAACTCCCAGAAGTGATTAACATGAAACTTCCCCGTATAATATCCATACATTATTCAGCAAACAGGTTATGAGAATATTCAAAGTCATCAGGTAGAAGCTGCTATCTTGATCTAGCACCAAGTTCTCATAATTAATTTACAAGGAAATGTGTAGCAGCTAGAGGGGAGAATTAACAATCAGATCTTGGGAGTTTAAGGGTTAAAGCTCTTAAACTATTTGCAGCACTGGATTTGTACAATAAGGTATTATCCAATGAAAAAATTGCTGTAAAATGATAAGCACTAAACTTTGAACATTTACCCAGCATCTAGCATGAGGCCTCTGTGTACATATCTGGGTTCATCATCAATCGTCACATCACTATTTATTATATTTCCATTTTCAATCAGCTGGGTGAATGTTTCCAACCCATACCTGCAAGGATAATTGTATAAAAAAGGTATTGGACCAAAGTAGACAACTTTTATTTCAAACTGATAAGGAACATACAGATCATGCAGTTTTAAGATTAATTCATCTTAAGAGTGACCAGCATCTAATTTCTCCTTACAGTAATGCTGCTGGATCATTCATTAAGATCATGAGAATGAAGAAAGTGATTGCCAACCTAAGAGGCTTTGATTGTTACATGAATTCTCCTTTTCAATACCAAAGGACAAGTGTAGAGAAGAGTATCAAGAATATGGAAACTGATGTTAGGGTTAAAAACCCATGTATGATCTCGAGGGGTGTCACAAAGAAGGCTCATTCTCTTAAACTAGTGAAAACTCTTAAAGATCAAAGGCATTCAGGAAACAATTTCTTATTGCCACCAATAGGGGTCTGGTTATCAAAGTTAGCCCTGTCTGTGGCATGAATGCTGAGCTTCACCCACTTCAGCCCAATGCTCAATGCAACCAACTGAGCCTATCAGTATGTATGCTATCTAGTACAGGTAATTTCTCTTTTTGATAGTTGTTTCTATCACTGGGGATAAAGGGTGGTGGCTGTCGACGATGTTACTGATTTGAAAAAAATTAATTTCTCAAAGGGTGGTCACGGTGAATTCCAACCCCCCCCCCCTCTTCCGCACCCCCTCTAGCTATGTTCCTAATTCAAATGTTCAACCAGTGTACCAATATAACAAGCTAGCAGGTAAAATATATACAGACTTAAAAAACGCACTTACAATGCTCCATAAGGCGTTTTGGCTTCTATGTTTGCCTGGCCATTGCTGATGTTCAACATATACCAGTAGGAGGTGTCAACGCGCAAAACCTCTTCATCACTACGCACATTCAACACGAGTTCACTCAACTTTTCACTTTTTCCACTCGGATTCTGCATATGATTTCCTCCAATTTGCCGCAATATTATTTCCAAATATCGTGTTATTCCGCGTTTCACGACACCCGAGCTTGACGATGTCTGAATAACGAAAGCTGGAGAAATTACAAGAGGCGGTCCGGAGCTTATCACCGAAGCTGGAAGAGGCCATAACGTGTTTGAAACAGCATCAGGTGTAGGAATTCTTTCGGACAGTTGATCACTCGATCGTTTCAAGGAAGCGCACAAAGGTCCAACTACAGACAAAAACAGCACACTGACGAGCAACATGATGAGAAAAGTGGTCAGATGGATATAAGATGAGTTTTTGGCAAACATAACATTCAGGAAAGTTCTGATGTGTATGTGACAACTTGTCAAAAATGAGATCTAAAATCGGAAGTGTTCGTCATTGGATCGGAGTTGGTCGGAATGGATCCGGTATCCTACATTGCTAGGCTACCAAGCGTAGAAGGCTCGGCTACCTCCAAAGTCTGGCTGTACAGTCATCAAAATCTAGTAATAAAACGCTGGGTGGAGGTTAGAATAGTTTGAAAGACATATTCGCTACAATGACTATCCAGTGGACTCTCGCTGCTGGCTTTCTGTACACTGAGATCGGTGTTCTTTTGTTGTTCTGTCTTCCTTTTATTTCGGCCAAAAGGTAAGGTTTTTGAATAGGGAGAATCTGAAAACTTGCAGCTCAAGTCGATCGAGCGTCACATGGATTTACGCTGGTTTCGCCCTGTTTCCTTTTCTCCCCGAGTAACTTCGACCCGTGTCAACTTCAAGTTCGCTTTATCATATGTGTATTTTTATGTCTAACTTACATTTTATGTGCTTTAACATTTGTATTTATGCAACAGATTTATATTTAAAGGTATTTACGGAAAGATACGGAGACACGAATTGTGTAGATTTTGTGCAAAGTAGACAATTTTTCGAACGTATCTTTATGTTCATGTACATGTGCCAAGGATGTGCATAATATTTTTTGTGTTTTGCTTAAACGTAATGCTTTGATAATGCTTTTATTATATATGTTTGTGATATCTTTGAATTTATTTATGATGTATCAGTCATATGGCGGGTCGAAATTGAATTTGATGCGGGGCGAAGTTACTGGATCGAAAATGAAATGGGGCGAAACTGGCGGATACCGTCACATGAAAGATAACATTAATGCAGAGCTTCCACCTTGGCGTTGATCATCGCAATGAATGATTAATACTTTTGCATTTTGTATTTTAGATGGAATCAACTTTTTAACTCCAGGTTCGTGGCTGCTTTGTTTGCGTATGGAAATTTCTACTTCAACGTCATTGCGTTAGTGATGGCTCTACTTTTACTAGGTAACACATTTAATTTTTAATTTATTTTTATTTTAAATTTATTTATTTATTAAATTTATTTAATTTTTAATTTAATTTAATTTAATTTAATCTGCCATCTGTGTTGAACAAGATTAGCCTATAAAGAGACTATGCTATGCTATCAGAATCTAATTTTACATAGTTCCATGCCAAAGTCTGCATTTGTCATCATACAGTATGTATTTCTGTCATGCTTCCGGGATGTGGCCAAAGTGAAAGAGGAATTGTTCAGTAGCTTTCATTGATCAAAGAAAACCAACTAGTGAAAAGCCAAGAAAAAAATGTCACTTGTCATTCCTGAGTCACATGTATTGCAAATTTTGGGAATCTTTTAAGCTAATCTTGCCTTCAACGCATACGTTTATCTTGATGTTGAGTCATCCTTACTATTTATAGTGAAGATGTACCTTGATTGAAATGTTAATTGGATTTTCACACATGATGCAATCTTCAACAGACCAGAAACAATCATCAACCTATTTAGAAAGACTGCAGTAAATTTCACAACAAATTGTCAGATATTTTCCATAAGTGGGTATTATGCAATCCTGTTTGTAGACCACCACCCAACCAATATTTTCAGTTGATTTGAGATTCAATTGTCCAACCATACTTATGACTATTATCAATAAAGTATCAGAAAAACCATTGTGTTACTTTCTATTTCTAATCCAAATTTTCCCATGAAATGCTATTTTGAAGAAATTTTTGGTTATGTGGTATTGAAACTGAAGTGTAGACATTGATGTATGTCTCAAGAGGCTACAGGACTCTCTTGCCCTTAAAGATGGAATCCTTTCTAACCAAATATGACATAGCCTTTGTATGTAAACTGAATTTACTCTAATCATGGCTGGCTGGTACTTTTTAGCATGTCATTCTGAAAATGTGAAAGCTAACCCTTAACCCCTAAGAGTGTTTGGCTTCTAATTTCTCCTTACAGTATCATCCTTGAATCAATACAAAGGTCATGAGAATAAAGGAAATGATCTCCAGTCCAAGAAGCTCCAGATTATTAAACAAATTCTCCTTGTCGGTACCACAGGAAAATTAAGGAGAACAGTGGGGAGAATATGAAAACTAATTTTACTAGAGTTTAATTTTATTTATCCAATTTAAGGTTAATGTTATTTCCTAATCTCAGTGTGATAGACAGCCAACAGAAACCATTAGCCAAAAAAAAAGTGTTGAAACCATCAAAATTAGTCTTGCATTTTCATGAATTTACTATTTTTTAGATTCAATTCGTGAATCCAGAAAGTACAGCAAGATGGAGTCCACTGCACAAGTGGACTTGCACAACAATCCTCAGGCAGAAATCATGGCTCAGATGAAATTGTTTCGTGCACAGCGTAATCTGTACATTTCTGGATTTTCCCTGTTTCTTTTGATGTAAGATATGTTATTAAGTATTAACCTTAAAACCGATAGAAATGATTGCAACAGAACTTCTCCTTACCATATCACCATATTATCCAATAAATAAGAAATGAGAGTAGAAGAAAATATCAGCTACAGTAAGTGGTTATTTTCTAGCAAGAGCACATGATTCTTTTGACTAAGTTTTAATGAAAATTGAAATGGTCAGAATGGTTAACTGCTTATTGCATCTTTGGAGTTAAAGAGTTTTATGATTGCTTTTGAAAAAACATGAGTCCCAGGCAATAGGTATGGTCAGAAGCATTTAACTTGAGTTTGAGCCTAAAACTCTGCCTTGGATATCATGGTTGAAAGTTTATCTATCGAGATAGGAATGCTGAACTATAAATGGTAAGTACTGCAAGGAAAAATTAAAGAATTTAACATCACTTACCTGAAAATTATTAGTCTACAAGATAATACTTTTTTATCATGGAAAAGTAAGGAAATTTTGGAAATCAATTTCTGTGGTAACTATAAATTTTAACCTTGTTACCCTTCACAGAGTGCTACGTCGTGTTGGAAAGCTTCTCTCCAAAAATTCTGTTCTTGAAGCTTCCAATGAAGCCAGTCTGCGTCAAGCACAAAATGTGTCTCAGCAGTGCGAAAAATTGATGGAGGAAAATAATGAACTTAAAAAGGTAATGTTGAAAGGTATGTGCAAGGTGGGTCTTGTGTGTCGTATAGCAATCTAGCAAAGAAAAATTGATAACCATGTTTTGTGTATAAAAGAAAGAGCCTCATGAAAACTTCAAGAACTGCTGAGCTCCTTTGAAAGCACTGAAAAAAGGTGGGAACATATTTGCCCTAAATCTTTCAATTGTGGTTTTATTAGACAGGACTAATCAAGCAGAAGAATTTTGTGCACAGATGAAATCACTTTGAAATCATCTTGGAAGAACATGTTTTGATGTCTCATTCACAAATCATATTCAATACAAGGTTTTAAACTGTATGCAAAAGTTTTAGTGACACATGGCTCAGAATGCATCCTTGGAGGGCTTAGCTCTCAGGAAATAGAGACCCACTGGGGAGGGGAGGTACTTTTGAGCCGTGACGTAGATTTTGTAGAATAAGATATGTTTCTTTTGTTTGTTTATAATTGTTAAATCTCTCTTAAAAAGGCCATAGAAGGCACAGAAGGAAAAACAGAGACAAAGACAGAGACAAAAGATGAAGATAAAATGAACCAAGAGCTGAAAGAATTGAGAGAAGCCTTGGAAGATAAATCCAAGAAGCTTTCAGAACGATCTGAAGGTGCTGCTAAGTATGACACTTTTTAACAAGGGGGGGGAGGGGAGGGGAAGTCAAATTGTCTTTAACCCTTTAGCCCTTTCACTCCTATGATCTGAATATGTATTCTCTATACTGTTTGTCCAATATTTCTTTAAAATTTTGCTCTGAGAATTTATTTGCCCTCAGTTAAAGGCTTTTTTTTTTCATGTCTCATTGCCTTTCTGCACTTAAATGTATGGATACCTTAAGCAGAAATTTGACTGTTTAATGGTTGCTCCAGGGAGGTGAACTTCTCCTTACAATTTCTAAACATCACCCAGCAGAGTGGTAATGAGAAGACACAACCAATCAGTTGGAGGGTTCAATATGAAAACAATCCTCACAGTCATGGATACTACTTAACTAGCAGTGAAAATAAGGCCTGAAAAAAATTCAGGCCAGTACAGGATTTGACCCATGACCTCTGCAATACCGGTAGCTCTCTACCAACTGAGCTAACAAGCCAACTGGGAGCTGGTCATTATGTTCTCGAGTTCCTTACTTTTCACTACTGGTTAAGTAGTATTTATAACTGCAAGGATCACTTTCATTTTTGTTTCTTCAACCACAGTTCACATATATATGATTTTCATATATTTGCAGCCATTTATTCAGTTGAAGGGTGTTATCATGATATGCTATCAAATAATTTTCAAGGAACTGTGTACTCAAGCAGCTAGAAGGAAGCCCCCAAATATCAGTATGCATTTTCTCAGTACTGTTCTCTGCACATTTCTTAAAGTGCTGATAAAGGAATTTGTTTAACAATCAAGAGCTTCTTTTGTTGGTGATCATTTCCTTAACCATTTGAGTGACCAAGACAGAATTTCTCCTTACAATATCGATGCAATATCAAGCAGACAAGTTATGAGAATAAAGAAAAATATCAATTAGGGAGTTATAAGTTCATCCAATACCAAATTCTCCCAACTAACATCACAAGAACTGTATGGCAGACAGTAAGGAGAATTACTAATGTGATCTTGGGAATTAAAGGGTGAATGAGTGATTTTGGGGTAATATTGTGAGGAGAAATAAGATTTTGGTCACCTTTATGGGCAAATGTTAGTGGTTTACTGTTATAAAACCATAAAACGAAAATCAAGATAATTACAGCAGCCCAGTAGTAAAGAAATATCGTAAGGAGCCAATAAGAGCTCAAAAATTAAAAAAAAAACTGCCTGAAGCTCAGGAAACGTGTGTGAATAAATCACATTTGACCTTCTCTGGTTTGGTTTTCATCCCGGCAGAGCTTGAAAGGACTAAGAAAGATTTGGCTGCGTTGAAAGAACAGGCCGCAGGACTGACACGGGAATACGACAGACTTTTGGAGGAACATGCCAAAGCACAGGTGGGAGGGGAGAGTAGGGAGATGGATGTTAATTTAGCCTGGGAGCAGGCCCTTGTTACTTGCGCTACAGGGCGCGCCTTTCTCCGCCCGCAGGAAGATTTGGGACGAGTCGGGGAGAGATTTACCTGGAGTCTGGAACTTATAATGCGGGTCTGAAAGGACGCCACTGTTTTTTCATCATCTATTTTCGCCCACGAATGCAGCATTCTAATTGGTGGAAAATGACCGGTCCTGTCATTTTGACATAAACTAGTGCTTTATATCGATGATCAAACGCAGACCTCACGTCAGCTTGTGACTTGTTCAAGGCTTCATACTTTCCCGCGAACAAAGAAACACTCGTACCGAAGCGCTGATAATTTTGGCCGGCTCATTGGGAACAAGAGGTTCTAGAAAGGACGCAGAATTAATGTAGAAGGAGATTTGTGGGAGTATTTACGGTAAAGAAACAAGGAACTAGGATTGTAGAGAGAATCAACTGGTTTTCTTTAAAAAAAATTTTGAGCGTTCTGAAACTCGATCCTCCAACCTCAAAACTCGACTCTCGATTCCCAAATATTTCGAGAATTGAGGTTCCAGGTTCGAGTTTCCGGTCGAGATTGACATTTTACCAGTTACCGTTACCCACCTGAGGTTCGTTTTAATTACTTTTGTTTCTCTTCCATCAGGCCCAGCTGGAGAAAGACGAGAACCAAACAGGAGAAGAAAAAAAAGAAAACTGAGGTCATGTCACCAATATCTGGATTATTTGATTATAATAACACATTTATTGGAAGAGAAGATCTAAAGATAGCCCGTCGCATAGTCTCTGTTTAAGGCTTGTGAGAAAGCGTAGAAGTCACTGACAAAACTGACTATTTTTGTTTTTTCAAGTATGATTATTCGTAAATAGTTGGTATTTATACTGATTAACATTTGTTTGTAAGGTAAGAATTGATGATATTACAAGTCACTGTTAGATTTAAACTTGAAAGACCAGTTTTCTAGGACGGTTGTTTAGTTGCAAGTACATCAAATTAAATTCAAAAGTATTGAAAAATATATTTTAAAATACTTACAGATCTTTGTAAACAGTATTTGTTCAAGTAACCTTCACATAGTTAAAGTATGGCATTATTTAGAAATAAAGATTTGTGAGGCACTGAAGCGTGTTTTCTTGTGTGTTTCTCTTTTCGTGAACCAGATATTTTGATCCTGCTCCAGGCCTTCAGTAAGTAAAATGAAGTGCAATGATGAACGGCGCCACAGTAGCGAAGGAGTGAAAACCGAGGGGGGGCTTGGGCAGGGTGACTCTGCCCCTTCAAAAGTGAGCGGTTTTCTCACTGTGCGCGTGGAAAAGGCTAACTTTTATTAGCAAGAGTTGCTTAGTGGGCAGAATCGTTGCTTCGTAACACGTAGCTATTTTTTGGTTATGTATCATTTTTCTCACATTTTCAAAAGTCAAATGAATACTGGTTTAGATCCGGAATCTTCAAAACTTCGCTCTGTGCGTTGTTTTAAATGTGAAAAATTCATCCAATGTACTTCCCTTTCTGACGTAAAATCTAATATCAGTCTAACACGGAAACCCGTGCGGAATCGCTTTCGAAAGTGATATCTGTATTCATTTGCTTTCGAGCCCCGCAGCGCGCTACGTCAGGAATTAAAATGTTCAAATCCCAGTTCTGTTTAAGAAAACTATATTAGTAGCCCCATTGCATAAAAGTTGTTGTTGGTGGATATATTACGATTTCAACAGAATCCGTTCGGGCGCTATGAAACGAATTGAAAGATTTTAGGGGCGAGCTTGTTTCACTGCAAGGGTGAGCTCGCAGAGGTGGTCGGGAGCGAACTTGTAATAGGTTGAAACCTCCAGTTGCTGGTTAACACAGTCAATCTTCTCTCGTGCGACCACCTTTAATGCAGGGGAAAATGGTCACTAAAGGAGGTGGTCCCCGGAAAACAAAGATCAAAATATAAACCCTAAAAGAAAGGAGAAAAATTATTGCAGCCACTGAAAGAAATCATTTATTCTTGTCTCGTTGGTTAAATGACGCAGTTGTACAAAGTTTTTCTTAAAAAAATCTAATTCTGAACAGGTCTTTAGTACTGGTGTACTCTACACGTCGTTTTGATTTTTGGTTTTTGCGACAGGTACATTAGCAATTTGAAACAGAATCCCTTTTAATCACTTGAAATCAATTGCCACAAAAAACTTTGAATAACATTGCCACATGGTTTGAATTTTGTGCGTATATCTATCTGCCTATTTGTAGAATATTTCTGACCAATCGGCGTAACTCAAAGATTTCCTTCTATCTTGATGATGGTCCTTATTGGAAACAAGAAACAAAAGAACTTTGAAAAATTTAGGGCCTCAAAAAGGGTCGTGTACGGTTAAGAAGATCGAAGAAAGGACGCTAATTTAAGAGTTTTTGAAACAGCATTTAACAAAGAATTCTAACGAGCATTTATAAGGAGGTCGCTGAAGGGAAGTAGTCGCTTCATAGCTTCGGACCTCTGAGATCCTCCCCATGGATCCGAAAATGTTTCCCCGTGTCTCTCTCGAATGCTTTTCAACGAAGTTTTTTCCAAAGACGTACTTGCATCAATATTTCTCAACAAGAATAAAAGTTTCAAATGCCAGTTTCATACTTTTAGTGGAAAAGAATAATACCAAGAACTTACCAAACCTTGAAAACATACAATTGAAGGAGTTCGAGTTTAACCTTCAACACACGCTTCAAGCTTAAGGCGGATTTGAACACAACAAGCATCTGAAAGACAAGACTCTTGTTAACAATACAACCAGTTTCCTAACTCACTTTTGGCTTTGATCACTGCTAAGTTTCATTGCCTTTTACACTTTTGCCAGTTCGGTCAACCAATAAAATGGAGACAGGAGAGAACCAAGTGAATGAAGAATTTAGATATATGAAAATTCACATATTTGCACTGCGGTGGAGAGATGAAATTAGAAGATCCTCGCAGCTAAGAACACTACTGAAACTAGTAGTTGTAAATAGGAGAGAACCAATTAAGACTTGATGTCACGCATTTTCCCGCGCTTAGCGCAGGTTGCGCGCCTTTGCCAAGTCTTGTTTAGGTGGTTCTGAGATAGACCTTATTTCTGATTCACTGTGATAAGGATAAAGCAACAGCATAATTTTACTACATTATTTGAATCTCACACCATACTCCTCGAAGGCTGATAGTGGAAAGGAAAATAAAACAAACAAACGAATCACTGAAGCTAAAACGAAGAAAACTTGATAAAAGGATAGTCACGTGTATTTCACTTGAAAAACTGAAGCCGAGTTCGATTGCTAGTGTTTGAGAATATTTGACTTAAAGCCGAGACTTCACCGGTATTAATGTATTCTTTGTGTTTGCATATGGCCACAATCACAAATACGAAAAAGGACTATTCCATCAGCTTCACCCCATAACTATCCAAAGAATAACAGACGGAAAAAAACTATAAATATATGATGAATTTTTTGTACACATAACAATCAGGAAAGTTCTGATGTGCCTGTGACAACTTGTCAAAGATGAGACCTAAAATTGGACGTGTTCATCATTGGATCGGAGTTGATCGGGATAGATCGGATATCCTACATTGCTAGGCTACCAAGTCTAGAAGGCTCGGCTACCTCAAAAGTCTGACCACACATTTATCGCTTACATTCATTAAACATTCATCAATAAAACGCTGAGAGGAAGTTGGAAGAGTTTAAAAGACATATCCGCTACAAAAAATGACCGTCCAATGGGCTCTCGCTGCCTTATTTCTGTACGCCGAGATCATTGTTCTTTTGTTGTTCTGTTTTCCTTATATTTCTACCGAAAGGTAAGCTTTTTGAATAGGTAGAATCTAACAACTTGCAGCCCAGTCGATCGAGCGTCGCATGGAAGATAACATTGGTGCAGAACTTTCACCTCCGTGTTGATCATTACAATGAATGATTAACACTTTTGCATTTTGTATTTAGATGGAATCAAATTTTTAAATCCAGGATCGTGGCTACTTGGTTTAGTAGTGGAAGTTACTACTTCAAAGTCGTTGTGTTGGCGATGGTTCTACTGTTAGCAGGTAATACTTGCATTTAGACGTTCAAATGACTCGTGTTATCTTTATGGTGCATTTACAAAACTAGAAAGCTTTTTAACGATCCATACTACACTCTACCGTCTGTATTGAACAAGCTAAGCCTGTAATAGATAACTATGCTATCAAAAGTTAATTTTACGTAGTTCCATGCCAAAGTCTGCATTTTTCATCACACATTATGTGTTTCCGTCATGCTTCCGGGTTGTGCCCAAAGTGAAAGAGGAATTGTTCATTAGCTTTCCTTGATCGAGAAGAACCAAATAGAGAAAAGCCGAAAAAAAGAAAGTCACTTTTTATTTCTGAGTCACATGTTTTTTGGAAATCTTCTAAGCTAATCTTGCCTTTAACGTATAAGTTTATATCGATGTCGAGTCATTTTAACCATCAAGCAATCCTGTTTGTAAACCATCACCCAACCTATTGGCCATGAGGTTGCGCGTGAGACTGGGTCGGTTTCGCTTCGAAGTGCATTATCGGACTGTTTTGAGAAATGTTGTTCTTTGAGAAAATGAAGCTTGCGTGAACATCGATCTCTTCGAAAATGGGTAAATTTAGCTGTTGTGTTCCAGGATGCACCAACAACTGGAGAAACTCACCAAATATGAATTTCACACTTTACCAAGCGATCCCTAAGTAAAAAAAGGCGTACGTACAACTGATACGAAATGTAACCTTGTAGAAAAACGCACTAAGCACAAGGATTCGTGGAGCGCATTTTCCAAGAGGAGTGAGGATGAGTAGAAATTAACTTCCTTCAATATTTCCCAGGAATATCATCCCAAAGAAGCGCTGTATTATACAGAAATCGCGACTGCCGCCGAAAGGTGAAAACAAGGGCTCACAACCTCGACAAAAAGACTCGATAGTCGATAGCAACGAATGTGAGAACCCGGATTGATGTAAACACTGCCAATACAATTCAGAGAGACCAAGCTTCCCAAACTGAAGTTTATACTGAAGGCCAAGCTTGTTAAGTGGAAGGTCTCAACGAATCAAAAGATCTTAAAGATGAAATCGCTTCTATTAAACAAGAGATTGAATCGCTGAGGGAAGCCGTCAATGAAAGAAGCACAAAACCATTTTTCTTGTAAATTCCAAGCCCGCATATTCCATCATCAAGAGACTCTCCTTCCTTCAATCCAATCTTCTTGACTTCAACAATCTGGCTGTCATTCTTGACTCCGTCAGGAGACGCACCTTAAAATGGATGTGTCTCAGATACAAAAAAACCTGACTTGTGTACCTTCTGGCCAGTCTCATTTTCAAATGTTTGGATGATACTTGATTCTGATTCAATACCATCTCACATGGCGTTAGTTTGTACTTGCTTAGTATAAAAAAGCACTCCTGAAACAGCTTTAGTTGGGCTTGATGTTGGCTTTCACAAACATCTCTTGCACTGTCAAGCAGTTATGGGTGGTTTCCATACATCAAACCATGTTCTTGTTTCATTTTGACCTTTTGTTTCTTCAGCAATTACATTTCTTTCCTTGACAGAGTTATATAATCTCTTGCTGGATCTGAGTGCCTTTTCCTTTATGTCTGTCATTGAAAGTGACCGTAGGGGATAGTAGGGTTTACATCCTCAAAAGACACCATACTCAAATTGCATCCCCCAAAACAGCCCCATAGTGCAGTTTGAAACAAAACTGAGCCAGTCTCAGGCACAACCTCAAAATGGCCAATATTTCCAGTTGATTTGGGATTCAGTTGTTCAACCATACTCATCACTATTATCAATAAAGTATCAGAAAAACCATTGTGTTACTCTCTATTTCTAATCCAAATTTTCCCACGAGTTGCTATTTTGAAGAAATTTTTTGTTATGTGATATTGAGACTGAAGTGTAGACATTGATCTATGTCTCAAGTGGCTACAGGACTCTCTTGCCCTTTGAGATGGAATCCCTTCCAACCAAATAGAACATAGGCTTTGTAATTAAACTGAATTTACTCTAATCATGGCTGGCTGGTATTCTTTAGCATGCCTCTCTTAAAATGTGAAAGCTATGAGATATTCAGGGAATGTTTCCCTTGTTCCCTTAACCCTTAAGAGTGATTGGCATCTAATTTCTCCTTACAGTATCACCCTTGAATCAAATATAAAGGTCATGAGAATAAAGGAAATGATCTCCAGTTTAAGAAGCTCCAGATTGTAAAATGAATTCTCCCAGTTGGTACCACAGGAAATGTAAAGAGAACAGTGTGGAGAATATGAAAACTAATTTTAATAGTTTTTTATTTTATTTATCTAACTTAATGTTAATGTTATTTCTTAACCTCTGTGTAATAGACAGCTGACAGAAACCATTAACTAAAAAAAAGTATCGAAACCATCATAAGTAGTCTTGCATTTTCATGAATTTACTATTTTTTAGATTCAACTCGTCAAATCATCAAGTACAACAAGCTGGTGTCTTCTTCTCCAGGGGACTTGCGCAACAATCCTCAGGCTGAAGTGACAGCTAAGATGAACTTGTTTCATGCACAGCGTAATCTGTACATTTCTGGATTTTCCCTGTTCCTTTTGATGTAAGCTTTATTATTAAGTATTTACCCTAAAACCGACCGAAATGATTGCAACAGAACTTCTCCTTACCATATCACCATATTATCCAGTAAATAAGAATTGAGAGTTGAGGAAAGTATCAGTAACAGTAGGTGGTTATTTTCTTGCAAGAGCACATTGTCCTGTTGACTAAGATACAATGAAAAGTGAAATGGTCAGAATCATTAACTGCTTATTGCATCTTTGGAGTTAAGGGGTTTAATTATTGCTTTTGAGATAAGTAAGTCCCAGGCAATAGGCATGTTAGGAAGCATGTAACTTGAGTTTGAGGCCAAATTTCTACCTTGGATCTCTTGGTTGAAAGTCTCTATATAGAGATGAGGAATACTGAACAATAAATGTTAAGAACTGTATAGAAAAATTAAAGAATTTAACATCACTTACCTGAAAATAATCAGTCTGCAAGATGATACTTTTTTATTAAGGAAAAGTAAGGAAATTTTGAAAATAAATTTCTGTGGCGATTATCACGTTGTTATTCTTCACAGAGTGCTAAATCGTTTTGTAAAGCTTCTGTCTGACACAGAGAAGAAAGGTGAAGATAAAGTTAACCAAGAGCTCAAAGAAATGAGAGAAGCCTTGGAAGAAAAATCCAAAGGTGCTGCAAAGTATGACACTTTTTAACATGGGATGGGGGGGGGGGGGGGGAGGGAAGGTTAAACTGTCTTTAGCCCTTTTGCACCTAAGATCTGAATATGTGTTCTCCAAACTGTTTGTCCATCATGTCTTTAAAATTTAGCTCTGAGAATTTATTTGCCTTCAGTTAAAGGCTTTTTTTCTTCATGTCTCATTGTCTTTCTGCACCTTAATGTATTGATACTGTAAGCAGAAATTTGACTGTTTGGTGGTTGCTCCAGGGAGGAGAACATCTCCATACAATTTTTATACATCACCCAGCAGAAAAGGTAATGAGAAAACACAACCAATCAGTCAACAGGTTTTTTCTTAATATAACATAAAATGCTATCAAATAATTTTCAAGGATCTGTGTTCTTAAGCAGCAAAAAGGAAGCCCCCTAAACATCAGGATGTATTTTCTCTATACTGTTCTCTATGCATTTCCTAAAGTGCTGATAAAGGAATTTGTTTAACAGTCAAGAGCTTCTTTTGTTGGTGATCATTTCCTTAACCCTTTAACTCCCATGAGTGACAAAAACAGAATTTCTCCTAACAATATCAATGCAGTATCAAGCAGATAAGTGATGAGAATAAAGAATAATATCAATTAGGAGATTATAAGTTCATCTAATACCAAATTCTCCAAACTAACATCACAAGAACTGTATGGCAAACAGGAAGTTGAATTAATAAAGCAATCTTGGAAGTTAAAGGGTGTATGCGTGACTCAGGGGTAATATTGTGTGGAGAAATTAGATATCGGTCACCCTTAGAGGCAAAGGTTAGTGGTTTACTGTTATAAAACCATAAAACCAAAATCAAGATAGTA